AAAGCTCTTTTTTAGCATAAAGCCCATTTTGCTTGTTCAAAATTACCAATAGTCTTGGCAGTGGTTTCCAGAGTAGTCATGAATAGGGTTTCTTCTGTGATGATGACAGACTGGCTCTCTCCCCCACTTAGACAGGTGGCCAAGTGTGTGCTCGTGAGCACGAATGCCCTGCTCTCCTGGGAGGGCTCGTTTCCTTCTCAGCTCCTTCCTGCTTGGATACCACCCAGGAGGCCTGTAGCTCCCAGGATAAGTGCCTTCCTCAAGGTCAGTGTCCAGGGGTTGATCTGTCCACTTCCACCACCTCTCGCTGTGTCCACCTCACTGAGTGAGCCCTCCAGGAACCCAGAGAAAAGCACTGCTCTGATTTGTCCCTTCCTACAACAGAAGAGGGCAGTGGAGGATGAGATGGTTAAATGGCATCACCGACTCAATGGACATGAGTTTGAGCAAACTCCAGGAGATAGTAAAGGAAGGACAAGGAAGCCTGGAGTTCTACAAGTCCATGTGGTCACAAAGAGTTGGACACTACTGAGCGACTGAATAACAACAGCAGCAATACAACAAAATAGAAGTGTGGTAGACACAAGGAAGGTACATGGCAGGCTGCCTTGTGCCATGGAGAGTCTGCTGTGCCAGGAGGACCTGAGAGACAATATATAGTATACTGGTCTGTGAGCAGGCTTAGGGGCTTCTCCTTCTGCCACTTACTAGCTGTGTGTCTTCAGGCAAGTTGTTTAATCTTTCTGATCCTTATTTTCTTGCTCTGTGTGTGACAATAATGCTACCTCTTTTCGTCCAGGAACTTAAAAAATTCCATGTATAAAGTACCTAGAAATCATGTTGGGCATATTTGTCAGTACTTAATAAATTACTAATATTTATCATCATTATCAGTTCCTCCATGTTTATGTGTAACAACTGGGCTGAGAGCTTTCCTCCTGGATCCCAGTGACAGTGGATAGTGTCACTAGTGACAGAGTCAAGAGCCCTGGCTTTTCAGTCTGACTTTTAAAGCCGGAGGCATAGTTTCATTGAGGACCATTGTAACCAGCATCTGACATCCACTGCGCGGACCTTTAAATCTTAAACTTTTTGTTATTTTTAAAACCTGTTATGTGTACTTTCATCATCTTATGGTGATTGAAGATGCAGACTTGGGGGAGAAATAATAGATTAGAATTGGGCCTTTGAGGTTACTTAATTTAACCATCTGCCTGGTGGATTTTATACTCTGATTTTTTTTTTTCCACCTCAGTTGTAAACAAGTATGCTTAAGGAACTGTGAGTTTCATACACATGTTAGTTTCACCAAATGTGAAACTGAGTTTGGTGGAAGCTTGAAAAGGTGGTCATCTATCCAAATGCCCATTGACAATGATAAAAACGTTTTCTATCAATTCATTCATTTAACAGATACTTTTTAGTAGCTGTGATGTGCTCATTTGTACTTCTCAAAAGGCATACATTAGAAGAGCCAAGACGTGAACCTAAATTATGTTAATATACAAAGGAAAGTGCAGAAGCTATAAAGCTATAAAAAGGCACAGAGTCTGGAGAAGGCAGAGCTTCCAGATCAGGGAATAAGGAGGGCCTTTGTAGAGGTGACCCCTAAACCTGTATTTTGAAGTTGGCTGAAACTTGAAAGCAGTCTCTGAGTTGGAAGTAGTCTCCAGAAAACACAGCCTGTTCATAAATCAAGGATGCTTTTCATCTGGTTTATCAGCTAAGAGAGAATGATCCCAATAGGTGCTACTTGTTTTCTTGTGAAACAGTTACATAAATGCTAAATTGTCATGTTGAAAGAAAACACCTTAGAAAAGAACCAAAGATACTAGAGTTAATGCCAGTAGTCTACATTGTTGATGTTTAAAACCCTGACCATATTGGGATATGTTCATAGCTTCTGAGCAGTGTGTTTATAAGTATTTGATGACTTAGAGATGAATTGGAAACCACTGGGTGATCTTAGACACATTATAATGACCTGCAGTCTAATCCCTACCATCTTCAGTTATTCAGAGGGGGACTTAGGTGAGCTGAAAATTCAAGGCAGAAATAACACTCCTTCCTCCCAGAGCCACACTCACATTAGCCTTTCAGCTGTCTAGAATATTCCTTCCAAACCATCATAAGTGTTAGTTTGTGTAGAATTTCTCTGAATGGTTGATATAATATTTAAAAGAAAGAAAAAACCACTCAACTCAAACCCTTGATACTTTGAATATCCAGCTAGACCAAGTTTGAACTTCTACCAAGCAGAAAGTTGAATCCACTGAAAATAGCTGCACTTAAAGAATAGTATTTTTTAATGACCTATATTAATTTCTTAAGTAATCTCTTAAATGTTTTTTTTTTCTGTTGTTATGCATTAAGAACCACTAAATGGCAGTTTAATGGAGGTGGAGGGAGTTGTAATCATAATTTGGAACAGATAAGCCAGGTATCTGCATTTTTCAGTTCAGTTCAGTTGCTCAGTCATGTCCAACTCTTTGCGACACCATAGACTGCAGCCCGCCAGGCTTCCCTGTCCATCACCAACTCCCAGAGCTTGCTCAAACTCATGTCCATCGAGTCAGTGACGCCATCCAACCATCTCATTCTCTCGTGCTCTTCCCCTCCCACCTTCAATCTTTCCCAGCATCAGGGTCTTTTCCAATGAATCAGTTCTTCACATTAGGTGGCCAAAGTGTTGGAGCTTCAGCATCAGTCCTTCCAGTGAATATTCAGGACTGATTTCCTTTAGGATGGACTGGTTGGATCTCCTTGCAGTCCAAGGGACTTTCAAGAGTCTTCTCCAACACCATAGTTCAGAAGCATCAATTCTTTGGCGCTCAACTTTCTTTATGGTCCAACTCTCACAACCTTGCATGACTACTGGAAAAACCATAGCTTTGACTGTATGGGCCTTTGTCGGCAAAGTAATGTCTCTGCTTTTTAATATGCTGTCTAGGTTGGTCATAACTTTTCTTCCAAGGAGCAAGTGTCTTTTAATTTCATGGCTGTAGTCACCATCTGCAGTGATTTTGGAGCCCAAGAAAATAAAATCTGTCACTGTTTCCATTGTTTCCCCATCTATTTGCCATGAAGTGATGGGACCAGATGCCATGATCTTTGTGTTTTTGAATGTTGAGTTTTAAGCCAGCTTTTTCACTGTCTGCATTTTTAGCCCTCCTATCAGCTTTACTCCTAAGAGTAAATGTTAGTAGCCAAACCTTTGATAAGTTTTTTTTTTTTAAGTGTACTATTTACATAAGAAAAGCTTGACTACCAACAGTGGAGTCTTTGCAAGATTTTGCAGTATTGCCATTATCTTTCTTTCTGTATCATAATTTTTCTGGGAAAATTAAACCACCGTGCTGTTCAAACCTCTACCCCTACCTTTCTCTGTCTCATTACCAGCAGTTAGAGGAATGACATTTTGTGATAGTTGTCTCCTTCGGTTCAAAGAATACCCTTTTCCTCTTTGCAGGATTTAAGAGAAGTTTGTCTTTCTCAGAGCATAGGCACAAAACTAAGTCACTATAAAAATGAGTCTGCACAACAGTGGGGGGAGGGTTGACTGGGAGCCTCTTGGGTCGCTTGTCTCCAGTATAAAAACTCCTTTGTTGTTGTTGTTCAGTCACATGTCATGTTTAACTCTTTGCAACCCCATGGACTCTGCAGCACGCCAGGCTTCCCTGTCCTTCACTATCTCCTAGAGTTTGCTCAAACCCATGTCCACTGAGTCATTGATGCCATCCAACCGTCTCATCCTCGGTTGCTGCGTCCTCCTCCTGCCTTCAGTCTTTCCCTGCATCAGGGTCTTTTCCAGTGAGTCAGCTCTTTGCCTCAGGTGAATGGAGTATTGGAGCTTCAGCTTCAGTCCTTCCAATAAATATTCAAGACTGATTTCCTTTAGGAGTGACTGGTTTGATCTTCCTGCAGTCCAAGGGACTCTCAAGGGTCTTCTCCAGCACCACAATTCAATAGCATCAGTTCTTCAGCACTCAGCCTTCTTTATGGTCCAACTCTCACATCCGTACATGACTACTGGAAAAACTATAGCTCTGACTATACAGACAGACCTTTGTTGGCAAAGTGATGTCTCTGCTTTTTAACACTGTCTAGGTTAGTCATAACTTTCCTTGCAAAGAGCAAGAGTCTTTTAATATTAGGGCTGCAGTCACCATCTGCAGTGATTCTGAAGTCCACGAAAATAAAATCTGTCACTGCTTCCACGTTTTCAAACCCATTATAGGACCAGATGCCATGATCTTAGTTTTTGAATGTTGAATTTTAAGCCAGCTTTTTGCCTCTCCTCTTTCACCCTCATCAAGAGGCTCTTTAGTTCCTCTTCACTTTCTGCATTAGAGTGGTATCATCTGCATATCTGAGGTTGTTGATATTTCTCCTGGCAATCTTGAAGTTCTACAAAAAGAAGTAGAAGTCTGATGTTTACTGTGTAATTTTAACATAGGGAAATTGATGTGTTTTTAATAGTACCTAATTGCACAATGTTAAAGGGAGTTTTGGAATTTCTTTCTCCAGTATTCATTATATCAGAAAATTTAAGTCAAAGAAAAAAAATTTTTAACAACATTTTCACACTGCCCATCTGCTTTTTATTTCTTGACTTTTGGTTTTTGATGATTCAGTCATGTTAATGAAGAGCCAAATCTTTTTAAATATTAGAAATTAATTTTGCTTGCTTTTGTAATTCCTGTTCTTATTTCAAGTTCCCCCTTTCCTGTTCATATTCCTCTATAAATTATAACCTGGAACACCTGACATGATTATCTGTGGAACTTATATTATTTGGAATTTTTACATAGTGCGTTAAATAATTACTTAGCAGTAGAGTTCAGCCTTTTGCTTCAGGAAATAAACTGTTTCAAGGCAAGAAGAAAAATAACGGCCCCACCCCTTACATAATGGCTGCCACGGTGAGAAATGACTGCCGGGTAAACTGTGGCTCCTGTGCATGGTCAGTATACGGATGCATGTGCTTTCTCTTCATGTAGGCAAGGCGGCTTTCCCGGCATGAATCAGAGTGGACTCATGGCTTCCAGCTCGCCCTACAGCCAGCCCATGAACAACAGCTCTGGGCTGATGAACACCCAGGCGCCCCCCTACAGCATGACGCCCAATATGGTGAACAGCTCAACAGGTAACCTTGGCATCTCCCTGCTTCTGAGGGCTGCCCTCCCCATCCCCTTTTCTCCTCTCTGGTTTGCACCACTGAGAGTGTAGAAGCAACCTGAGCAGTCAGATCATTTGGTGAAAAGGGGGGAAATACTGCTTCTCTTGGTTACTTGCTCCATCTATTAAGTCTTAGGAACATTAGATTTTATGTAAATTATTTTATTCATTCTGTGTTTGTGTGATATGTGGATGTATTTCAAGTGTCATTGGAGATTGCTTGCAAAGTATTTACATACACTAAGCTCTCTTTATCTTTGGACGTTATTGGAAGATCCCATGACAAAGTCTGTAGTCTCTGTTTGCTGGTGGTAGAGATAAGCATTAAAATTCATATCTCAAAGGAAATGATTGAAGGGTAGGACAAGGTGGTATTTGAAAGAGGGTTTTGTTCTTTTTTCTTTTTTTTTTTCCATTTAGGGAAACTCACCTTTAAATGTATGCATGAAAATAGTTGTTGTTAAAGTGCTATTTGTAGACTGTCTCTGTTGAGAAATCATGCATTTTTTAACAATTTGTTTTAAATTTTTCATGACACTTAATTTTTTCAAAATACTCCATGATCTCAATAATTGCATTCTTAGCGAATCTCATCTGATTAGTGGACTAAGAGTGTTCTAGCCGTTTATGGAAGTAACAAGAATGTCTAAAACTGTGCACATGTTCCACATTCTTAGACCCCTTAGGTCCTGAACCACCTCCTTAAAATCCACCTAAGTATCCAGGGATGATGAACACTGCTCTTTAAATGAGAAAATGCTGATGTATTTCACCTGACCTGTTAACTTTTTCTGACACCTACGTTTTGGGTAGGATGCCCCCCTGTAGTTAATCTGGAGCTTTGCGTAGCCAACTGTGTGTCCTGCAGTGCTTTATGATGTGTTAGGAAAACCTTGTGGAGTCAGAAGCTGGACTCCCACTTATTAACCTTTTTTCATTTCCTCTGCCTTCCGCCACCTTTCTGACCTCTCCATCTTTGAAAGGCCGCCCCAGGAGCTGTTGTCTCTTGATCAGGAAGGACAGACGGCTAGAGACCGGGCTTGCATCCCACTGAGCGTCTAGCATTTGTTGGTTTCTAGGGCCTAATTTAACAGTGCCATTCCTGATCACTTCTCCTTAAAAGTTTATGGAAGAGGAAAAAATGGAAACTATTGGTGAAAATGAAACTTTTCAAATAAATAAATAGCCCTTCCTGATGTTAAGCAGTCATTCATCCCGGCGAGGTGGATGTTCTCACACTTAAGATGAAAGGTGAAAAGCTTGAGCTAGAAGCTTTCCCTTTCCTTCCCAGCACCGTCCCAGGAAATGGTGTATTTGGGTTATGACATTATGTGTTTTGTCTGGCTTGCTGAAATAAAATTACTTTAGAGCATTCAAACTGCACAATAAATTTTCCCCACTATTAGCAGCACTCATTTTTCCCTTTTTTCCTTTGGACCTAGAGCCACAAAAATAACCAACAACAAATAGATGCCCTGCCTAAGAAGATTTATGTATTCCTGAGTAGTAACCAATTTAATGGAGATTCACAGAGAGGGTTTCTTTTTATTGTTATTATTATTCAGATAATTCAGCTATTTGTTATTTCGTACAGAGGAAATGTTCAATGAGAGGCCATTTATCCTCATGGTCTTTTGTATGGGCCAGTAGTAGTATATTTTTTATTGCATTGTGCATTTTGAAATATTGAATTTTTAATAATTTAAGCATTTATCAAATTTTCCTCTACCCATTTATATGATTTGATTTCAGCTTTATTAAGTCAAGTGCTACCTGATAGAAAGTAGTCATCCAGCATATCCAAGGAATATTGATGATTTAGCATTTACTGTGTGTCTATTGATGGATACAGGTGAATCTGCTTAACTGCCTTACAGTCTCTGAGGGACTTGGGAATGACAGAGGAGCCCACAATTACAGTGCAGCTCCTGACAGGAGTTGTGGTCTGAAGGTGTACACTTGACTTCTCTAGATTTGCGCTTGTCTAGACTTGTCCATGGGGTCGCCAAGAGTTAGACACTACTGAGCGACTGAACTGAGAGGTGGGCCAGAAATGGCTTGGATCATCACCACCTCAGTCTTTCTGGTTTGGGCCCATGGAGATAAATTACCAGTAATAACAGAAAAACATTTTCTCCAACCATGGACACTTTTTGGATACAATACAGATAGTACAAATGATGGCCAGTGGTGTTTTAGGAACCTCAGTTAGCAGCTCATGCAACCGGCATTCCAGCATGTTCTTTGCTGAATTCAGACAGTTGTCCTGTAGACAGTGTGATAGGCCAAAAAACAAGTTCTCCTGTGTAGTGTGACAAATTGTTACAAGCGTCAGTGAGCAAGTGATTATTTAAATGGAGTCAGTGTGACTGTGAATGTGGCAGTTCTTGCCCTCATCAGATGCGGGGAGAAGTGGGATGGTGAGCAGAGGGCTTGCTTCCCTCTAAAGAAGCGGTTTTAAAATATATGTTTGAACTAAAAGATTAGAATTACGTATTACTATGGGAAAAACTGCAAATCGAGTTTAACCTTATTAAATATACCCTATATAATACTGGTGCTGTTGGTTACATTGTACTTATTCATGTTTCACTTTATAATATCATTAGTCATATAATTATCTACATGTAAACCATCACGTTAAAGATATCTAAATTTTAGAAAATATATCTACCATCTGTGAGTCTAAGTTCACCTCAGCAGAAGTCACTGCACAAAGTCTTAGCACATTTCCATCCGAATAACCTAAGAGAGTAAATGAGCGGCACTGTGGCCAAGCACCGCCCCCTTGGAGGCAGGTCAGCATAGGGAAGTTTCAGGGGATTGTTTCAAAGCTCTGCTGACCCAGCCAGACAGAAGTGTTTGTCCTGAGCTTTTCTCATGCCTTTTGTTAACTGTATTCTCTATATATTTGCTACATATAAAAATGGTGAATATCTGCAAGTGTATACACTTAGATAGACCCTTTTGTGTTTTCAAAAACAAGGAGTTAAACATTTTACAGAGTATTTTATTTGCCATGAAAAGAAAAAGAACTGTTTGTGTGTTTCTGGTCCAGTTTTACCATCTTCTGGGAATAATTTTGTAGCTGTGAAGGGAGACTAAGTCAAGGAAGCTGGAAGGGTAGGAATGAATGTTTAAGTTCACTTTTACTCGCACCATATGTTTTTTATGTTCTTGTTGAATATATTAAATCCAGGATGGGATAGCTGCCTTAGGACCTGACCCACACTTACTTTAAGAGCTCATTCTTCTCTTAAATGCCAATGGTAAAGCCAGAGGCTAGTACTTGAGAGGTATATGCAGTACCCACACTGCTCTCTCTATAGTCACAGGTTCTTTACTGCCCCTTTTCATGCCTGAACTTTACATATGGGATTACTGATGTCAGCAGGAGGAACAGTGCTTTGACTTAACACATCCTTGTAACACTGGGGGTCTTTCTCTTCTGGGAAAGGAGAAAAAAAATAGTGCCCTGGGAGACATATGACTGTTTGCAATGATTCACTGAGAATTCTGGTAACAAGTCAAAAATAAACTTTTTAACAAAAGGAACAGTAAAAGCCACAGTAAGGAAGGACCGTATGATCCATTTGGTAAAAAAATAAAACACAGGAGACGCGGGTTTGATCCCTAGGCCGGGAAGATGCCCTGGAGGAGGAAATGGCAACCCAGTCCAGTGTTATTGCCCGGAAAGTTCCATGGGCAGAGGAGTCGTAAAGAGGCAGACACGGCTGAGCGCATGATACACACGGCGGGAGCGCACAGCAGAGCTGTTCCTCTATGTCCTGTGCTTACGTTTCTCTCAAAATAAAGTTTAAAAATTCTTACGTTTGCATACCCTGAATGCCCATTTAAAAATATATGATAGGAAATGAAGAAATTTGGGGAATTTCAAACCCCTATACATGCTTATATATTCATCACAGTGTGATTTTTAAATCACTCTAAATTGTCATTGATTATCATAATTCAGTATTGGCTTAATGCTTTCAGTTAAAAAAATTACTTTTGTGTACATTAACACATTTAATGCATGAAGAAGGAACTACTAATAAATTACTAATTCCTGTTTTTCAAAACTCATATTCATGCATAATTTATTATAAATACTGACAAACTGTCATAATCTTAGAAGGAGCAGGACTTAACAGAAACCCCATGCCCATGACTTGCCACTTTTCTCTGGAATTGCGTGATTATCATTCCTTTGAGCCCACCCGGAATAGCTAGCCAAGGACATGTGGACTTGGGTAAAGAAGCCCTGCTTTCCACATTTGCCCTGCTTTTTTTTTTTTTTCTCTTCTCTTCTTCTCAAAAGGGGGTTTCTTCATGTAAAGATGATCCTGGTAGACCCAAGAGGTGAAGCTGCAGGAAAGCCATCCGCTACTTTACACAAGGCTGTCTTCTTGGTGTAATATCTCTCAGCTGCTTTTTTGAGGTTTCACACATTCACAAAAATAACCGCATTTTTAGCTGATCCCAATAGATTTTTCTCTGCAGCTGCATCACTTGAAAAAGCTTTTTGTTTCAGTTCTTAAAGTCTAAGTATTGAAAGTAATTTGAAAAAAAAAAGAAAGAAAAACATCCCAATTATGATTTGTGTGTGTGGTGATGACTTCAAGGGCTGACTGGGCTGCAAATGGGCTTTGAAAAACAAGCCAATGTGCCCATGGAAAATACAGGCATTTCAGAGTGCATCATTGAGTGTGCTGATGTAAACTCACGGGCACGTGGCTGGGTAGGCTTTTTTGGCAGGACCTCTGGTCTCAACCTGCAGTGATGCTAACGATATTAGCAAATTAACACCACCAAGCTTGCCAGCTAATTCGCCAGAGCCCTGCTCACTCTCTCACTGCTGTAATTAAAACTAATTATTTTCTAAAACATAGTAATACATGAATATGTGCAATAATCATTTTGTAGTGGGCAATCTGTGGAGCCTTTTTTTTTTAAGCTTTTTTTCGTTTTTTGGCACATTATGCTGCATGTGCATGGTGGTGGTTGAGCCAGCACTTTGATTCTCAGAATGTGAAATGGGTCCTGTTCATAAAACCTCGAGTTTTATTTTCTTTTGAAATGGGAATGTTTTCTGGTTTTCACGCATTTATAAGGCTCGTAATTCTCTCCCCTCTCACTTTCTCCTTCCACCTCTCCTCACTCTGCCTCTTCACACAGCTGGGTGGTGTGGCACTCACAGCCCAATGCCGTGCAGATGGTTTGCACAGTGGGATTCTATAGAAATTCAGCAGTTAAGCCCTGGATAGCTACAATGATTCCCTACTCTAGCCTTATTCTTCCTTTAAAAAGAAAGCTGAACCTGTATTTTTAAGTTAAAAATGTCTGCTAGTATTGTAGGTAAATCAGTTACCTTTGGGAACCTTTCATTCTATAGCCTAAATGAACCTGACTGAATTTTTGAGCCAGGAGCTAGAAGATGAGTCTTGCCTGAGATTGCAGGGTTGACTTGAGCTGGTGTGGGTGTCTGACCTGGGCTTTTGAACTGCAGCTGAGGACTGATCTGTGTACATCCTGCCCCAGAATGAAAGGAAACCAGCCCCATTGCAAAGTAATTAGAAATCCTCTCCTTCACAAATGACTTTCAATGATTGCTTTCGAAATCATCTGTTACAACCGTCTTCCGTCCTTGTAGCCTAGGCCATATGTAATAGATGTGACTTTTGAGTGAAATAATATTAAGTGGTAAGTGATTTTACAAACTGTGGATTGTGTGAATTTAGGAAGTTAAGAAAGCAGTAAATCCTCCACTCAGCCAGTGAAAATACACACACCCAGCCTTTGCTTCCAACACCTAATAAGCATTTTGGTTGTTGAGCATATTTCTGTTTGCACCTCCACGATTAAAACCGTAATAATTTTGAAAACATAGTATTGATAATAGTTGACTTTCGATGGCTTAGGTCTTGAGTTAAATGATTGCTTTTCTCCCCCTCAAGATAAAAAGGATTGCAAGAATCCCTTGCTACTTAGATTGCAGAAATTAGCATTCTCTGAGTTACAGTTTCTTTCTCCTTTTTTTTCTTTCCTTCCTTGGAGGGAAATTTGGGTGCCCCATCACTCAGTAGCTTGTGTTAGTGAGCACAGCCTGACGAGTCACACATATAATCCTAAACTCTCTCTCCTGTTTTCTATTAGCATCTATGGGTCTTGCAGATATGATGTCTCCTAGTGAATCCAAACTGCCCCTGCCTCTCAAAGCCGACGGTAAAGAAGAAGGCAGTGCACAGCCGGAGGGCAAGTCGAAGGTACTCCTCCCTCCTCTGCACGTGGTGTGGGGCCTGCTCGCTGAAGCTGCCGTGTGCTCTTTTTCCGTTTGGTTTCTTCTCTTCTGCATGCCTCCATCTTGTGCGACAGTCTTGTTTGCAGTCTTCTTTGCAGTCTTCTTTCCCCACCCCCTTCATGGTGTGGATCTGAAAGTTACTAGTTCTTATGGCATTTAACTGGGTGTGGGAGGGGGTGGAGGGACAGGACCCACCCAGAGAAGTGCCTGGGGGTGGGGAGAAGGAAGGGATCTTGCCTGGTTTTGATACTTGCAGCCATTTTCTCTGCCTTCAGTTTATAGCTTCCTGTTTTGGCCGCCTCAGCAACAACAGCATACTTAATATTTTGCTTTCCTGCCTTATTTGATAAATAAGGTGAACAGCTTTTTTTTTTTTTCTTTCTTTCTTTCATAAGGGGTAACCCATGCTTAGCATTCCATGTAAGCTTGAATAAGCATGGTGGCTTAGTGGTCTTATCCAGCATCCAGCAAACTTACCAAGTTATACTAATTAAGAATGTTGTTTTAATACCTTTATATGTGTGTGGTTTTGTGTGTTTGTACATGTCTTTATATATATATCTACTATATATAAAAATTAGTCTGTTAAACTGGATGTGCTTTTTGTTATTTTAAATAAAGTTTGCCCTACCTTTGTCATTTTTTTTTATTCCTCTACCACAGGATAGCTACAGCTCTCAGGGTATTTCTCAGCCCCCAACCCCCGGCAACCTGCCAGTCCCTTCCCCAATGTCCCCCAGCTCCGCTAGCATCTCCTCATTTCATGGAGATGAAAGTGATAGCATTAGCAGCCCAGGCTGGCCAAAGACTCCATCAAGCCCTGTAAGTGGCTCTGGTTTTTTGTTTTTTGGTTGTTTTTTTTGTTGTTGTTGTTGTTTTGTTTTTTTGGTTTTTGGGGGTATTTTTGATAATTAATTCTACTTTAATGCTTGCTTATTAATTTGTTTTATAAGACTTTTTCTTCATAATTTATCCATGAAAGGATTTTCTTCGTAATTATGCTAGTAACAAAATGAATAAAGTTTGTATGCATCATAACGTTAAGTTGATTTCTGATAATGAAACCACTGATATAAAAAAGCATCTATAAGAAGCATGTGATTGTGCTACTGGGCCCAAACTCCTTCACACAGTGACTTTGTTTAAATGTCTAACCCGTTGTGCACTTCTGGGAGATCTTTAAAATGAGTTAACTGTCCATTTACCTGGTAACTAATAGCAGCCATGGAGTAAATGATAAGTTTAGCCTTCGGACTAAATCTTTCATGGGCTATTGTGTCTAAAACATCTTATGTCAAAACTACCTATATCTTGAAAATATAAATACTACACTCTGGGCACAGTTCAGCATGTTATAGCCCTACTTTGTTTCAATCTAGTTGTCAGAAAATAACAGAAAATTTGTAGAAATGTTAGCGTATGTGAATATTTGGAATGCTACTCATAGATTAATGTGTGCGTACATTAGAATCATTTAAGATAGAAAAATTACATCCTGTGCAAGCATGCTGAGAATCTTAAAATTGTTGATTTTATATGATATTTTTTAAAAGTGGAAATGTGTATATAAGGGAATTTTTTTTTTTCCTTAGTGTTCTTCTGTCTGTAGAGCTAGGCTTTTATTTTCCTACTAAAGAAATTAATTCTGTGCCATTAAAGAAGAAGAAGAATGGCACTGTAGTAACCTTTATTTTACATTCATATAGGGAATCAAAAGATCTTTAAAAAAAAAAACTGAACATGCAATTACTTGCCAAGAAGGCTTAATTAATACGCTAATTTTTGTAAGACAATGTATTGAAGAGCACAGCTCAGGAAAAGCAAGTTGGAGGGAAGAAGACTCTTAACTGCAGAATCTGGCAATCTAGTCAAAACCCCACAAGGAGGCTGCTATTAATTATCCATTCACTGGTTTAAACAGATAGAGCTGAAGGTTTGAAGATTTGGTAGTTCCAGTAAATGTTTGTAAAATTCATGTGGAGCTCTACTATAACCAGCATTTTCCTTTTCAGGGGAAGAAAGGGCAATATTCACTGTTAGCTCTTCTCTAGACATGTGTTTCGCTTTTTCAACAACCAAGATGAAATGAAAAAATGCTTCTAGTATGGGTTATGCAGAACTAATGAAAGAGTGCAGCTCCTTAATTCTGATATCTTTGTGTTATTTGCTTTGAGTCTCAGAAGGCAGCCAACATGGGGAGGGGGGGTTGTTCCATAATCTATTCTGATTTTTCTTTTCATTAAAGAAAAAACATTTTTGAATCAGTGATATTCTCAAGTCAACAAATAGAACCCCATGTATAACTTTTCAAAAACATTTGTTTATTAGCTCAGAGGGGAAAATTTCGGAGGTTGAAAATATCCTTAAAACCTTAAGATAAAATGGACAGGAATTTAGCATTAAGTCTGCTAATGGGAAGAGGGGAGAAATTCAGAGAAGAGAGGAAGGGATTTCAAATTGGGTAGGGAACTGATGTGAGAAAATAAGAGATGACCAATAAAACATGAGTGGAGGAAAAAGATTTTTCTTAAAGACTTCTAATAGACCCATACTACATGTTTAAAATTTCCATCTTGCTGATTTCTGGATAATAAAAAATGATTGAAGTATTTATTATATTTTAAGTTTTTGTCACATTACCTGTATCCAGTAAGTACGTAGGAAACTATTATCAAAACCCTTCCTTCTACTTAAATATGAGAAAGAAAAACAAACTGAATTATTGATTTCATTTTCTAACTGTAACATAATAATACTTAAAATCACATATTACTGTCCTCTTTTTTTTCTATATAGTTCTACATACATTATCCCTGTAACTAACCACTTTTTACTTAAAAATTTACAATCATACTTCTGGCTCCAGTCATAGAAAAAGAGAACAAGGGAGGATGTGATTTGAGGTAGTGGAAGGTGTTGGAGATTGCTTTGTATTGAGAAAACAACTCCATGCTCACATGAAATGCTCATTCAAGAAGGGAACGAAAGGAGATTGTTATGAAGGACCTCAGATTATCTCTGCTGTCAAATCACTGCAGGTACATATTGAAGAGTATTTAACTTCTCTTTCTGAGATGCAACTTTAAATTGTACTTAAAATTGCTCCTCACAGTGTTCCTAATAAAGCTTGTCTAATACCAGACCTGAAATGAACTAAATAACAAAGATGTTCTATGCTTTGACAGTGTGCTATGGACCAACAGTTTTGTTACAAAACATTCCACAATAAAAATAAACATTTGCACATACACATGCATATACACATATTACCAGGCATATGGTAAAGACTGCTGAAATGTAAATCTGTCTCAAAGATTTGAGGAAAAGTCTACTTATAGACTTAATTAAGTTATATGCAAGGAAAACTTTTGTGGCACCATAATAATGTCTTGCTGTAATTTTTCAGCAATCTCCGTTTCTTTTTCTTGCCTCCATGACAGTGTTTCATGCAGTATGATATGATTTTTACAGTATCAAAGCAAAATGAGGTGTTTCTAGTGGCCTGGAAAAGTTAACTATCTTCCTGCAGGGCTAGGTTTTTTTATTTTTTTATTTTTTTGCCCATTGTTGATGAGTAGAATGTAAATGATATTTATTCAAAGGTCACATCAAAACTAATAATGTCTGAGAACAAAAAAAGTACATGTTGAGCCTAATCAGTGATAAAGTGTATAGTCTTTACTTCCTAGGACTTTTGTTTTTCTTAATATCGTTTTTCTCTATTTGGACACCCAGATACTAACTTTGGGAATGGGCTGGTGTGTCACCTGGAGATCTTACTTGTCCACCAATCTCTTCTCAGCTTTCAGTCTTATTAGACTGTGTCCATGTTCACTTAGCACCTTGCTCACTGAAAGCCTATTTATAGGCTGTTTTAATCAGCTGTTAATTCTTACTTGGATGGTGCTAGACTTTTCAGACCTTTCTCATTCATTTGAGTATTCACTCATAGAATAAATACCTACTGAGTACCTTCTGTGTGCTGTCACTGTTGGTGATTCAAAATCAACACAGGTCCTGCCCCGTGGAACTTAAGGTCTGGTCAGAAGAGTGGAGGGCAGACAGCTAATCCCACGCAGGACACACACTCCAATGCCCTGTGAGGCCAGATGCCTCTAAGGACAAATAAAACGTGATGATTCAGACCAGGGAGCTGGCCTCAAGGGAGGCCTTTTCTAGGACTTGACACATAACTGAGGCTTGACCACTTTCTTTTCATATAGATGCCTTTTCCTACATTATGGCACCATAAAGTGCATTTTTAAAGATCTAAAAACTATGAAAGATAAAACTGTTAAAAACAATTATCTTCATTAAGGTTTTCTCATTTTATGAGAACAAATTGAAATATGTAGAAGTTAATTAAACTTAAGTTCATTTAACAAAGAACAGTAAGAAAAGTTAAACTATGGATAGTCAAACTAAGTGAATCATTCCTTTAGACCCATTTCAGTTTATGAGAATGCAGTCCTTTCATAAATAGGAACAAACACTGCACAGTCTCATTGCTTGGGTCATGATGAACTGTTCTCCTGGAGCCCTTCCACATTTGGAGTTTAGAGAGGACCAGGCCAGAAATAGCAGTTGGTTCTTATATTCAGGATGTTGATGGAGCACTTAGAGTAACTGTTAATTGAAATGATTGATTTTATATCTCTTATTTTTAAATTGAATCTCAAATTTTTACCTCTCAATTTTTCACAGATCAAATAAAAGGGGGAGATCCATGGTGGTGGTGGTTTGTTGTTATGTTAATTGATTTTAGGTGATAGTGCTTTTTACCTCTGATTCTTATTTCAGATTTTTATTTTTTTACAAGATTGGGTCCATTTTCTCAATGTGCCTCCCAATAAAGACAAAAAATTTTTCAGCACTAGGATTTAGAAACCTCCTGTTAATAACTACCTCATTAATGATGACAAAGCTTCTGAAATGTTCCCAGGATGAGAATGTGGTATAAGAGGTAGTTAGAACAGTTTCTTTCCCTAGTCAGAGACTCCTTGGATATAAGAATATGATAAAATGTACAGACTTATTTGGATATGGAATATGTTCCATATTCTGGTATATACATGAATTTATAAGACATGCATAGGAATATGTATATACATTTTAAGTTCTTATCTAAAGTAACTGTTAGGTGACTTGCTCTTTAGCTTCATCAATACAAATTGTAAAAGGTCACAGTTTTTTTTTTAATCCTGCCACTACATTTTTTATTTACATCAGCTGTATCACCTATTATTATATGTTTTATGTAAACATTTTATGTTTCAATAATTCTAAAGCTGAAGGCTTAAAATTTTAGCAAAAATAGCTTGGGAAATTACATGTTAATTGGAAGGACCTTTGCCACCCATCAGCTTGATTAGTTTCATTCTCAAGCATCCTTTCTCAGGCCCTAGTTTTATTGGGAATCACTTTGCTAAACAAGGTAGCATCAAACCTTAAAGACAGTTATGTTATTTAACTCACCATCCCCATTTCAGGTCACATGTTTGAAATTATGTTGAGCTAAATATAACGAAAAAGAGTTAAAAAAAAAACTTTGTCTAACTTAGTACTATACATTGCAAATGATAACCTAGTAAATAAACATGATTAAATGAAATATATTATTATTCCAAGGAAATACTTGAGAATTTACAAGTGATTTTGCACAAGAATCCCAGAGTTGCAGATATTACGAGTACACAAATATTGTTACAAATACAGAGACATAAAAGAAAGGGAGAATATACAGTGGGCTGTTTAAAACAAAAAGTATTACCTTCCCAGATCACATAATCCAGAGGGTGAGCTTTCAGGTGTGCAGAAACAGCCACTTCTGACATTTTAGTATCAAATATATAATTAGGAAAATGAAAGACCAAGAATTAGAACATCAGTATAAACCAAATGGGCACATAAAAGTAAACATTCGTAAATAAGCTGGGAGTATGAAATAGCACATGTGTTTGTGATGAACACATGGTTGCTTAAGAAATCTATTAAAATAACACCTTACCTTGACAGAAAAGTTCAAGAAATCTTAAGTCAGGAAAGCGGATCATTCTGAGAGAATGCTAGTAACTGGCCAGTAATTTAGAAGGCTCTCAAATGTAAAGCGCACACACCACTGGGTCCGATGACATGTGACCTACCTTATATTTTTCAACACACATCATGTATATGCTCTACCTCCATATGATTTAGTTTTAATAAAACTACATTGGTCATTCATATTTTGACAAGGAAATGTAGGCATCTACATAATGAGGAGGGGGGCTCTATAATATTACAGTTGAAACTTTAAACTCATTGTGACCATTCAATGAACTTGCACCCTTTTTTTTAAAAAAAAGAAAAAATGACATGAGGGGTCATTGGAGTCTTGCCTTCTGGGATTCAATGCTTATATTGATAAAGTAAAAGAGAGTTTTGTTGTTTTTGTTTTTCAAGTATATAAAAGAGGGAGTTTGGGCCCTTTATTTAAAATCAAAGTAAATTCTTAATTAAGAAAATGTATACTTTGTGCCTGAACTAGTAGCCTTCATTCCTGATTGTTGTGTGATAGCAGTAGTTTTAAAATTTCTTCTCTTCTTGTACTTGGTAGCTCATTACTTTTTTTCTCGCCTTCTTCCCTTTCCCTCTGCCTGCTTATGCCCCATCTCCAAATGCTGCCCTGGACTCTAGAAGTCCAGCTCATCCACCACCACTGGGGAAAAGATCACAAAGGTGTATGAGCTAGGGAATGAGCCAGAGAGGAAGCTGTGGGTGGACCGCTACCTCACCTTCATGGAAGAGAGGGGCTCCCCAGTCTCAAGTCTGCCTGCGGTGGGCAAGAAGCCCTTGGACCTGTTCAGACTCTATGTCTGCGTCAAAGAGATCGGAGGTTTGGCACAGGTGAGAACAACTGAATGAGGAGATGTTATGGATGAGCTTTGAATATGCAAACTTGATTTTTTTTGTTTTCTCACAAAGAAAAAGCTAAGCCTCTGGGAAGGTCACCTTTACTGGATCCATGTTCATGTGTGGCAGGTGGGGGGCGGGGGGTGCACTGGGGTCAGGGACCCCGATCTGCCACCCACTCACAGAGTGACCTCAGTAGGTCATTTATATGGACTCAGTCCTTAACTGTAAAATGAGACATTTGAGCTAGGTTTTGCTTTAGGGTCCCTAATAGCTCTAGAATTCTGTGGAGTCTGTGTTAGAATTTCATGGTAAACAGAAATGTTTTACAAATGACTAAATTGGATCAGATATAAATCAAATTCACTGTTTCTCTCTATCCAAAGCAAGTTAACAAGAAAACTAAGTCACCCGTCTGCAACCATGTCCGCTGTACCTGGGTGACAGGAGGGGCAGTGCTGTCCTTTCCCACGGCTGGGGGCACCCAGATGCAGCATGCCCGGAGGCACTCCCTTTGGGGTTGTGCAGATGCCTCCCCTGCACTTGCCCCCTTCATTCTGTACCCTACCCTAGGGGCCACATTCTCCTTTCCCTTGTCTAAGCCCTGTTTTTAGCACTGGGGCGGGTTTGTGTGTCCATATCCTGAAGTAGAATGGAGAAAAGGGCCCTCAGGGGTGAGTGCCTGCCGCATCCTGGGCACCGTCCTTTTTCTTGTCACTTCTCTCTCAACACCCATGAAATGCAGAGTCGTCAGCCCTGAAGAAGAGATGTAACAGATTGAAGTACAGTCGCCCCCGGGGTCCACGGAGCACCGGTTCCAGGATCCCCACAAATACTGAAACCCTGTGAGCGCGTCCCTTTGTTTCTGGAGCCTACACACCACCTCCCATGTACTTCAGATCATCTCTTGGTTACTTATAATACCCAGTACAGTGTAATGCTGTGTAAATAGTTGCTGGTACAAGTTCAAGTTTTGTTTTTTGGAACTTTATTTTGGGCGGGGGATAAGGGAGCTTTTTTTTTTCCCCTCAATACTTTGAATTCACAATTGGTTGGATTCACAAATGCAGAACCAGGGAACAGGGAAGGCTGACTGTACAATAACGTTGTGGTCGAGGGACTCTCAGGGTGGGTGGTGGGGCCAGGTTTGTTTGATTGCAAAATACATGCCCTTTACCTGCCCTTGGTGCTCAGACCTAGCTGTTCACTAGCAGCACCTGGGAGCATTTAAAACCTGTCAGTCCCTGGGCTCCCTCCCAGACCAGTGAAAGGAGCTGCTCCGGGCCTCAGGTGGTCCAGGCCTCACTATCCAAAGGCAGGTCTGCTGATGCACAGGTATCACTGAGGACCCACCCTGGTCTCCGGGCTGCACAGCTCTGGGGGTGTGCAGGAGAGGCTTTTGTTCTCAGCCCACCCTGAGCAGCCTCCTCCCACCCGAGACTGAGGCCTCCAAGTAAAGCAATTAGAGCTTGACTCCAGACTGCGTAATCAGATGGGATCACAGGATGCAGATCAGGTGTGACCAGGTGTGAGTGGTGGCCAGCAAAGGGTTTCACCCAGCTCACAGAAGCAAGGAACCATCAGGATACCTCACTCAGCCAAGTGGATTCCCAGGTTGGGTCTGTGAGCAAGATGCTGCTGGCTTAGCTGATGAAGTTGCTTGAATGTAGTAGTGATTCCCAGCGGTGAGGCCTTGGCCTCATTGTCACTCACACCCCATCAGATGTTATTGGAACAGGTGCTGCAGCCTCAGAGAGATCATCTAAGAGCCTGGCTTTTCAGGGTGTCCCAGGCAGTGCTCTGCTTACTGTTTCACAAGCAGTCACAGGCCTGCCCGTTGCAGCTGGCATTCAGTACCAAAAATGGCAGTGAGCATTCCCGAGAGTATTCTCTGGTTTCTCAGGCACCATTTAGTACTAAGTAAATGGACATAAAGAGCTTTGTGAGGAAGTTTGAATCCAAAAATTGAACATTTCATTCAAACTCACTGTCCCTTTAACCCATGCTGCTTAGCACAGGATACATCTAAAGGCAAAATATTCCGCAAGTATTTGCAGGCCTTCATGTTTGCTTCATGTGTCAGCCTCGTGTGATCTGTTCCCATCAGGAATCAAAATGTTAAACTAATTCCTCAAATCTTATATAACGTATGAGGATTCCCTTCCTTTCTTCTCTTTTTGCAGTTGTATTCCCTCCAGCCTGAGTGTAAGTGGGAACACTGGATGGTCCTTTGTGCCCCTTCCCAAGCCCACTGGTGCTACCATGTCCGCTAGCTGGTGGCTCATAGCTCAGACAGGGTTGATGACTTCTGCTGGACTGTTAGGTTGGGCTCATTTGGTTGGGGCCTCCTTCACCCAATACTACAAGAAAGCCTCATGTGAAAGGCTGGGCATGAACAGAAATTACAGGCTCATCTTTCTGGGAGCTTGTGGCTGTTGGAAGGAGACATTGTTTTTCTTATTAAGGCTCAAATACTTAAATTGCAAAATAATTCTGTTATTGCTTTCTAGATTAGTTTTTAGACACTCTTTTTTAAAAAAATAAAGAATGAGATGGGGGTGAGCTAGAGCGCCTTTGCTCAGAGATAAATTGCCAGCTCCAAGCAGCACCCCGCTCTGGCAGACTCGGAGGCATTAGAAGATGCACTGGGCAGAAGAATCTCCATGAGCAATGCTTTTTATGTAGCTATCAGCAGGTTCCTTAATGGTTTTATAACTGTAAATGCTGTCTGTGCACTACTGAGTGGGAGTAATGAGCATTAGTTAAAAGAGGAAAATGAAAAAAAAAAGTAAACCAAGATATTAAGTGCTTTTTTTGTTTCCTGGCTTTAAACAAGCCACTTTGCTGCAAACCAGTAATCCTGCCTTTTTTTTTTTTTTTTTTTGCTAGGTTAATAAAAACAAGAAGTGGCGTGAGCTGGCAACCAACCTAAATGTTGGCACTTCGAGCAGTGCAGCGAGCTCCCTGAAAAAGCAGTATATTCAGTACCTGTTTGCCTTTGAGTGCAAGATCGAGCGGGGGGAGGAGCCCCCGCCGGAAGTCTTCAGCACGGGAGACACCAAGAAGCAGCCCAAGCTCCAGCCGCCATCTCCTGGTAAGTGGGGGCGCTGCAGCCGGGAGCCCCTCCCGGGCTCTGAGATGGCCACTCAGCAGAGCAAACAGGACACGCTGGGGTCTGAGAGAGGGGAAGGGACATCCTGTCTTCTCTTGTTAATTTAACTGGACCCCGTTAGCAGTGCCTGGGAAGGAAGAATGAACGGGGGATATTGTGTTTCTGCTCTGCATTTTGAAGGTGCCGATCTTTTGCTTTACCTTTTCTAGTCAAAGACTTCAGGTTCTGAGTTATATACTTTAATTCCTTATACAGTTATTTTAAAATACCCCACCTAACTATCAAAATGTCTCCCCATTAACCTGTGCTCATACCAGAAATGCCACCCTGCAGATTTAACAGCCAGTTTCCACCAGCTCTGCCTCTGTCGGAGATACTCAGATTTATACACAGCAAAATGAAATTTTGACTTCGTATTTAATGTTCCCTGCCAAGCAAGTTTTTGCTTGTAGGGAATTCAGCAAACTTTCATGATAAAGGTCTGTATAGCCCTGTTTCTGCGAAAGCAGAGTCCAAATTAGTTTTGAGCTAGAGGTCAGGAATCTAAGCAAATACTGCTTGGGAATAATGGCAATTCACTTGAATTCGCAGAAGCAAAATCATACAAATGGTACCTGCCTTCTCTGCTGTCTCTCCACTCAGCTGTTGGACACCCTGCCATCCTTTTGGCTCTCCTGCTGGCTTCTGTTCTACTGTTAGCATTTCAGATTTGAAATTACTGAATCACTGTATTCTAATAAATCCAGTATTGAAGATGAGAAGAGGTTTGCATTATCTTTAGTTCTGGGTGACCTCACTCAAGTTAAGTTTGATCATTCTGTGGTCTGCTTCTGGCCATGTCCAAGCCCTGTGTTGGTCACACTTGCTCACACTGTTCCTGCGTATGAGGTGGGGCTGATTATATCTGCCACGGCCCCCAACACAGGCTTGTTATGCCGTCAAATGATCATAGCCAGTATTTCTTGAGCACTTATAGTGTGCCAGGGCTTTCCCATTTAATCTTCATATGAGCCCTATAATACAGATACTGTTCTAAAACCCCTGAGAAAACCAAGGCACATGAAATCTCAGCAAACTGGCCCATTGTTGCTAGTGAGGGGGAGAACCAGGCTTTGATCCAGACATCTGGCTCTAGCATTAGAGAGCCAGGTGTACCTACAACACTTTGTGCTTAAAGCAGTGCTGTAATAGGTAAACTGTCTACACACAGAAAGTGGTACCTGTGAGCCAAAGAAAGGAGTTGTTTCTCTTTTAATTACTTCCTCTAGCTGATATCTGGAGGGCAATGCTAATATCTAAGGCCACTAATCAAGTGATATCAAATAAATACTCTTAAGGCCCAGGGTACACGGGTAATGAGCACACCTCAATATAGATCTGTTTGTTCTAAATACAAGTAGAGAAGTTCCTCTCTCTCACCCCACCCTTAAAGATCCACAGCCTTTGCCAGTTATGGTGGACTTTAAAAACTGTGAAATCTAATTTCGAAAATCTCACAACATTACATTCAGTTCACAGAGGTAAAACAAGCTGCCTCTGAACAGCTCTGAAACTATTTTTCCAAAATAAAAACCCAGTAGGGTGTAGGGACCAAAGTGGCGATGTCTGCAAAGATCTAAAGGTATATTTTATTTGCCAGGAAAGAACTCGTGTCACTGAATGGTCTGTACTTCTGTATGGAGAATAGCTCTCCCAGTGTGCATCAGCTTCGGTACGAGAAACCCTGCTGAGGTACAGACACTTCAGAAAGTACAGGGCCTGTGCTCTGAACAGTCAGCTCTTTCCTCTCCCCCCCTCTTTATTTTAAACTACCGTTTTTATGGCAACATTATCGCTTTAACTGCACAAAAGAGCTCGGATTGCAGGCGCACCTCTGATAATACATTCTTCTCCGTGGTCCAAATGGATCCTGAGTCTGTGAAACAGGAAACGGGAGGAAAGCTTCCTGAATTTAGCAGTTCAGCCAATGCACAGCCTGAAGGGCATAGTGCGGGGTGCACGGGGCCAGCCTGCATGGCTCACGTGTTTTGCACACTGCTCAGCAAGAGGACAGAAACATGGAACAGGCAGTGGGCAGTGAGTAACGTCGCCTCTCAACCAAAAGCCAGGCATTTCCTCCAGCATCTGTGAATCAGTGGGCTCTTTGATTCCAGACCTATGATTAAGGAAAATGTTTCTGAAACATTTTTATTGTCAGAGAAGGGAAACAAATTATTCCCAAACCTTTGCCATGTCAGGGCCTCATATACTACAAAAATTTTTTAACTAATTTTCAGCCAAAATTTGTGTTCTTTAAAGTCAGGTTTTTTCCCATAAGAACCTAACTGTAGCTTATTCCTTACTGATACATCCAGGCAAACAACTAAAAGATTCCTCAGAAACATTCTAGATTCTTTTTTCAAATGTTCATTCTGAACCAACTTTAATCCTAAATGCTAATGACTTAAGGTCATCCCCCTGTTTCAGTTCGGATGTGACAGGGCTAATAAGATTTGAAATTCAGTCCTGTCAGCCTCTGAAAGGTGTTGCCCCTTAGCCCTGAAGCCTTCACCCAGATCTTCACTGTCACATGGCTGTGTGGCTTCTCACCCCAGAGATCCAGGCTGTGACTTTGGGGTCTAGAGCAAGCCCACCAAAGGAAGGCTCCTGAATGAAACCTGAGCAGGGCCTGGGGTGCGGTTGCAGCTCTGAGGTGCTGCTGGGGCTGCTGTTATAACCGACTGTAAAAGTTTGTGAAGATCTAATGAGCAGCCACAGGGATCCAGGGCATGGGCTGCCTGTAAGCTAGAGTGGGGTAGGGACAGGGTGGGGAGGGGACCTGGCTGGGAGGAATGGGTGGGGGTGGTGGGAGGAAGCTCCACTTTCAATTAGTAAGTCTGTAACCAAAAACCCATCCATCTTTGCTGGCAGGTGGCTGACTGAATTTCTATTATTAGCTGACAGGTGATGTCACAGAGCCTGTCATGGATCCAACTAGGGAATCCTCAGTGGAAGATAAATGAGAAAGGGCCCGGGTTATAAACAGAGGTGCCCTCTGGGTGACCTCTGGTTGCTGTAGACCTGGGGCATATCAGCTATGCCTCATCTCCCCACCCTCCTTCCTGCAACCCCAGCCAGAACTAGGGCACCCGGTCCATGCTGTGTAAATTATCTTCCCAGCTAGGAGTCTGGCCCTGTTCAGTCTGAAGTGTGTGAATGTACTTAACCTTCAGTAACCTCTCCATTGTTTACTTTCCAGTATACATTTGTAGCTTCTGGCAAAAGGTAGGGATATCCTAGAGAGCCAGCCTCCTCTGTTAGCAGCTTCCAGAGGTTGCATTCATTTTTTTTTTTTCCCCTGAAAGGAAAGGAAAACACACTGGCGAGAGGGGAGAATGTTTCCTTTTTTTTTTTTATTAGCTGTAAATGTGAATACTTGTAAATAAGGGCCGTTCTGAACAAACGGCCTTGTGAGCCCTGTTCCAAGGAAGCTGTGCTGGCTTCTGTAGTCTGCTTCTTGAGTTTAAAAAATCAGTTATTTCCCCTGCCAGTTCTGTGGGGCAGTCGTGTCTGTAGGGTTATCCTTCTATATTTGTAAAAGACTCTACTTGTTTCTTTCATTATATCTACTTTTTAAATATGCATTTTTTGGTAAAACTCTGGAAACGCATATTTGGTATACAAGTATAATAAACTGAATTTGGTAGAATTCTGGTTTGGTTTAGAAGCGTGAGTTGGTTAAGTTTTTATTTTAAGGTATCTACATCTAAGAAGGTATCTGTAGTTAAAGCTAGTCTTCCCTGATTCACTCTTGTCCTGGGCACCCAAGGGAGGTGTTATGGAAAGCACCCTCTGTTGGCCAGTCCTCAGTATTCATTCCCAAGTAGGCCCCGACCATGCAGACATGTTGGTTCAGCTGAAGCTCTCTGAGTAGAAGTGATAGACCCCATTTCTTACTCACTAATAGGGCACTCTGTTTTCTCCAGGGTTTGTGTAACTCAGTTTTCCCTAAAGTAAAGTGTGGTAATGGTACAGTTCGTTAACTGTAGATAATAATATATGCAAATTATTGTTTATAAGCAACCAGCAATCCTATTTGTTACAGTTAGAATTCTGAAAGTATCATATGTATGTATGTAGGCAGGAATTTTTTTATCTTTTTCTGTCAATTTGATAAATTCCAACAGTAGGAAACAGCACACAATATTCATTCAATTAATGTTTGTTTAATAAGTGAAGCCAATATCTATCCAACACCTAATATGCTAAGGACTATGATCAATGATAAAGCAAGAGCCCTTAAAATATTATGTTTTTAAGTGGGATTAAGTTTTTTTCATGAATCCCACATAAGTTTTAAAAAGATCTGTTCAATTCTGGCCTCTGTTATTATAGTTTAATTATAGTTAAAGCCCAATCTTGTTACTCTGATAATGACATTAAATTCTAAACCAATAAGAATTGTGTTGTGTAAATAAAAAGTATGATTTCATAGCTCCAAAAACTACTGTTAATGACAGCATAGACACATCCAGATGTGGAAAAATGATACAAAGCTCATTATTAATTTGTACCGTTTCTTTACAACTTAAACATTTCTCATTGCCTAAGACCTTGATAATTTTTATAATGTTTTTCTAAAGTAGCACAATAGCCCATCAAATTGATGAAACAAATTTTTTGTCCCATCTTTCCTTATTCTTAGACATTCAGATTACCTTCATTATAAACAACACTAAAATAAGCCTTCTAAAAACTTCTTTATATTAGATGGTTTTTCTGGGATAAATACCCAGGAAAGAAAGCATTTACCCAGTCAAAAGGTGTTTACAGCTCATATCTGAAGTGCATTTCCCAAAGAATTTAGGAAAAAAAAGCTTTTACTGATTTTCACCATAAACAGTTAATTTTACTACATCGTTTCCAGCAATGGATATTATTACTCTTTCTACATGAGATGGTGTCCTGTTTTTCTTTCCCTTTTTAAAAGAATAACTATCAAGGATGAGCTCACTTGATAACCTCTAGTTTTCCCCCCATTTTTTCTTGGTATCACTACTATCAGCTAACTCAGGATCCTTGCAAGGTCCACAGACTCCCCAGTCAACTGGCAGTAATTCAATGGCAGAGGTTCCAGGTGACCTGAAGCCACCTACTCCAGCCTCCACCCCTCATGGACAGATGACCCCGATGCAAGGTGGAAGGTATGTTGAAAGATCTCTGTGAGCCATATAAAGTTAGATTTGTCTATATTTTAGTTTTTTGGAGCAGACTTTAGAGAGAGAGAAAATGGTGTTCTCTAGTGAGTTTTTAAATATTGACTACCCCCAGTTTCAGTCATATAATTTACTTTGGATGGTTTTCCCATGTACACAGATTTCAAGGTTGGCTTATTTTCAGGATCAGCGTTGGCAGGTGACTAATGCTCTGTGGTTAAGCTTTCATGTCTCTCATCTCATCAGAAGCAGCACCGTCAGTGTGCACGACCCATTCTCAGACGCAAGTGAGTCATCGTTCCCCAAACGCAACTCCATGACTCCCAGCACCCCGTACCAGCAGGGCATGAGCATGCCAGACGTGATGGGCAGGATGCCCTACGAGCCCAACAAGGACCCCTTTGGAGGGATGCGGAAAGGTAAACGCCAAGGGCCCTCTGTGCGGGGTTGGTCCAGAGGGCATTCCTCTGCTGTCCTGTGATTGATTCGCTGCCCCTGCTCCTCAGCCTACTAAATTTCCGGCCTTGAGGAAGGTACTTAGCATCTCTATGCCTCGGTTTCTTCTTCTGGAAAGTAGGATAATAAGGGGTCATGAAGAGGAGCTGAGTTAATGCACATAAGTACAGGCAGGCCTTAGAAGAGTGACTGGTACGTATCGTAAGCAAAGGTACTCTTGGTGCTGCCCCGAGTTGGCATCAGGCTTGTCTTTGGGCATGGGCTGGGCATGGGCTGGGTGCTAAGTTGGTAAACCAGACAGGCCCTTGTGGAGCTGACGGGCTACCAACAACAAATAAAAAGTAAGGTAAACCACGTATATGTGACTAAAGATGGTTTTCGACGGACGAAAAGAAACAACCAGGAAAAAAGGACACAAAGAGCAATGGCGCTGGGGGTGGGGGCAGTCGTGGGAGGAGGGGCCTCTCCTTGGGAGGGAGGACGGGCAGGGGGCTCTTGGGGACGGGAGCGAGGCGGCAGTGAGGCTGGTGTGCGTGGGGGGCACAAAGAGCCGAGGGCCATGCTGAGAACATCCAGGCCCCCGGGTCCAGAGCCTTTCCACTTCCTGCATGTGCTGACGAGTTTGGGGTTTTTATGCAGGATGTGAGGTGACTGGATTTTTGTTGTTGTTAAAAATAAATGAGTAACTATGTGGACATTTATGGAGAATGTATTGGAGAGAAGTGAGGGTTGAGTTGGGGAGACCACTGTCAGAGTCCTCAGAGAGGTGAGGGCTTGGGGTGAGACCCAGCAGGGAGAGAGAATGGAACCACTCAGTATATGTGTGTGAGGGGATGGGGGGATAGAAACAGCAGGCCGTGCTGATGGATTGAATGTTGAATGTGGGGGTTAAGGGAGAAGAACCAAGCGATGGTGACTGAGAGGTGGGCAGTCGGGAGAGAGCGGGAAGTGAAGGTGGCTGTTACTGCCTGTGATGTGGACACCTGGGAATGAACAAGACAGAAAGGGAAACCAGAGTTCACTGTAGATATCAAGGCAGTGAGGGGTAGGCTCTGTGTCTGGAGCTGGCAGAGCACTATAGTTTGTCCTTTCAAAAAGTTTGAGCTGCTTATTTCAGGTAGAGATTTTGCAAAACATGCAATAAATCCATAAGCTCAGAAATTCAAGAGCTTTGTGAATGTTGGAGTTAACTGTTTTGCATCATGGTAGGAGATGCTAGAAAGAATGTGTCGTTAGTGCTGTTGGTAGTTATATAATACCTTTAGACTCTGAAAATATGACAATAACGAGGAAAAATAATTATGGTTTGGAATCCGGTTTCAAAGTTGTTGAAAACTATTCCAATATCCTATCTATTATGCTGTATTTGACAACATGCGTTCTATTTCTTTTGTCTCCTTATGCCTATATTTTTTTAATGAAAATAAGTGGGGGGGTGAAGAGGGGATGACTGTGGATTACCTTGCTCTAGGTGCCAGGTAGCTCTATAGTGTGTTTTCATCCGCTGTGTAAATGATACAGTGGCTCAGCGGGAAGCCCTCACACTTCCCCCATGTATTTCGGCTTACCTTCTACCTTCCAATACTGGTATATTTAGTACCAAGTTAAAGCAGGTGAACAAAGCCCACAGGAAGCAGATTTCCTTACAGCCCTACCCCTGTTACAGCAAAGTTTTCCATTCCTCACGTCACCGTGTTCTGTCAGTGAACTTGATGGGGCTCTGATTCTTTCTTTAATGACCAGCATCAGTGGACATCACGCCCCTCGTTGTTGGTGCTGCTGCTCCTGTGGTTGACCTGGAGTGTGGGGGGATGGGAGATGAAAGAGCCTGCTCTAAGACCCAGAAGCCCTGAGTAGCCTTGACCTTGCCTGTCCTGCCTTCCTTCCCCACCTACTCACTCATTCATCACTGACTGAGGACTTGATCGATTCACTGCTTTTAAGTAAACAGTAAGGAATATTTATATACTGTTTAACTTAACAGTATACATTTTGAATATTTATTGGTATCCACAGATACAGTCCTACTTACTCTTTTTAATGCTCTAGTAATTCATGGTTTGTTTCATAATATTTTGTTATTATAAATAATGATGCAGTGATTATTGAAGTACAGCTAGCTGTTTTTCACACTTGTAGAGTGTTTCTGTGAAATAGATTCCTGGAAGTAGAATAACTGAATCAAAGAATGATAATTCTTTTTTTGTTTACTGAGTACTATTTGTAACAAACTTTTTTTTCGGTTTACTTTGTACTATTGTTAACAAACTACCCCAAAACTTAGTAGCTTTAACAACAGCACTCAATTATCTCTCTCAGTCCTGTGGTGGGTGGGATCGCTCTCGACTCCAGGTGTACTCAGCTGGGACTTGGGGTGACTGTCATCCGAAGCCTGACAGAGAGCTCTGCTGAGCTCAGGTGTCACCTGAACGGCCGGAGTCATCCGGAGACTGGCTGGGAGCTGAGCTGGAGCTGTTGGCAGTGGCCTCCTCCAGGGGCCTTTCCATGGAGCTCCTTGGGTGCCTGGTGCCATGGGAGACAAGCTCCCGGAAGGAGCACCTCCAGTGGCCACAGCCTCACTTGCAATTGCTTACAGCCCTCTGCCGCATCACATTTGCCAGTGTCCCAGTGGTCAGAGCTGGTCATGTGACCAGGCCCGGCCTCCCAGTGTGTGGGGACTCCACAGGCTGTGAGCACCCAGAGATGTCCTTTTTTGGGGGGGGAGGTCACCAAAATACAGCCTTACCATAGCAGGTATTGGCAAAAGTTATACCAATTTAACACTCTTAGCATGATTATGTGGACCCTCTGACTAAGAATGAATATTATCATTTTCATGTTTGTCAGTCAGAAGGGGAGAGGGGGAAAAGCCTCTATCTTGGATTTCTTTAATTATGATTGAGGTCATGCATCTTTTTATATCAGTTCAGTCTCTCAGTCGTGTCTGACTCTTTGTGACCCCATGGACTGCAGTGCGCCAGGCCTCCCTGTCCATCACCAACTCCTACAGCTTGCTCAAACTCTTATCCATCAAGTCGGTGATGCCATCCAACCATCTCATCCTCTGTTGTCCCCTTCTCCTCCTGTCTTCAGCCTCCCAGCATCAGGGTCTTTTTCAGTGAGTCAGTTCTTTACATCAGATGGCCAAAATATTGGGAGTTTCAGCTTCAGCATCAGTCCTTCCAATGAATATTCAGGACTGATTTCCTTTAGGACGGACTGGTTTGATCTTCTTGCAGTCCACAGGACTCTCAAGAGTCTTCTCCAGCACCACAGTTCAAAAGCATCAATTCTTCAGTGCTCAGCTTTCTTTATAGTCCAACTCTCACATCCATACATGACTCCTGGAAAAACCATAGCTTTGACTAGATGAACCTTAGTTGGCAAACTAATGTCTCTGCTTTTTAATATGCTATCTAGGTTGGTCATAACTTTTCTTCCAAGGAGCAAGTGTCTTTTAATTTCATGGCTGCAGTCACCTCTGCAGTGATTTTGGAACCTAAGAAAATAAAGTCTGTCACTGTTTCCATTGTTTCCCCATCTATTTGCCATGAAGTGATGAAACCAGATGCCATGATCTTCGTTTTCTGAATGTTGAGTTTTAAGCCAACTTTTTTTACTCTCCTCCTTCACTTTTATCAAGAGGCTCTTTAGTTCTTTGCTTTCTGCCATAAGTGTGGTGTCATCTGCATATCTGAGGTTATTGATATTTCTCCCGGCAATCTTGATTCCAACTTGTGCTTCATCCAGCCTAGCGTTTCTCATGATGTACTCTGCATAGAAGTTAAATAAGCAGGGTCACAATATACAACCTTGATGTACTTCTTTCCCTATTTGGAACCAGTCTGTTGTTCCATGTACAGTTCTAACTGTTGCTTCCTGACCTGCATACAGATTTCTCAAGAGGCAGGTTCAAGTGGTCTGAAATCCCCATCTCTTTAAGAATTTTCCACAGTTTGTTGTGATCCACACAGTCAGAGGTTTTGGCATAGTCAATAAAGCAGAAATAGATGTTTTTCTGGAACTCTCTAGCTTTTTCAGTGATCCAATGGATGTTGGCAATTTGATCTCGTTCCTCTGCCTTTTCTAAATCCAGTTTGAACATCTGGAAGTTCCCCGTTCATGTACTGTTGAAGCCTGGCTTGGAGAATTTTGAGCATTACTTTACTAGTGTGTGAGATGAGTGCAATCGTGTATGGTAGTTTGAACATTCTTTGGCATTGCCTTTCTTTGGGATTGGAATGAAAACTGACCTTTTCCAGTCCTGTGGCCACTGCTTAGTTTTCCAAATTTAGCTGGCATATTGAGTGCAGCACTTTCACAGCATCATCTTTTAGAATTTGAAATAGCTCAACTGGAATTTCATCACCTCTACTAGCTTTGTTCATAGTGATACTTCCTAAGGCCCACTTGACTTCACATTCCAGGATGTCTGGCTGTAGGTGAGTCATCACACCATCGTGATTATCTGGGTGGTGAAGATCTTTTTTGTATAGTTGTTCTGTGTATTCTTGCCACCTATTCTTAATATCTTCTGCTTCTGTTAGGTCCATACCATTTCTGTCCTTTATTGAGCCCATCTTCGCATGAAATGTTCCCTTGGTATCTCTGATTTTCTTGAAGAGCTCTCTAGTCTTTCCCAATCTATTGTTTTCCTCTATTTCTTTGCATTGATCACTGAGGAAGGCCTTCTTCTCTCTTCTTGCTATTCTTTGGAAATCTGCATTCAAATGGGTATATCTTTTCTTTTCTCCTTTGCGTTTCGCTTCTCTTCTTTTCTCAGCTATTTGTAAGGCCTCCTCAGACAACCATTTTGCCTTTCTTTTTCTTGAGGATTGTCTTGATCCCTGTCTCCTGTACAATGTCATGAATCTCCGTTCATAGTTCTTCAGGCACTCTGTCTATCAGATCTAATCCCTTGAATCTATTTGTCACTTCCACTGTATAATTGTAAGGTATTTGACTTAGGTTATACCTAAACGGTATAGTGGTTTTCCCTACTTTCTTCAAGAAATGGAAAATAACTTCAAAACTAGTTCTACTGGAGGTTGATGTAAGAGCATGTAAGATAGGAAGTATTTGAAAGCACCTTATAAAGCAAAAATATATTCTACCAGTGTCAGACTTCTTTATTTGCACCTCTCAACCAACCAGACAAATTTTATCAGCTCACAAAATTGTAATCAGCTTTTATCTCATGGAACATAAAAGTAACCTTCATAGGATAAAGGCAGGTAGTGGTAATAAGTGTATATCAATTAAGATTTGCATTAAAATGTTTAATTTGCCTACAGGCTAGTTTCTGGGCTTGACCCAATTTCCTTCAGGCTGTGAGCAAATGCTAATTTGCATATTTGACCTAATTGACACTCTACCCCTTGTTAGAAATATCTCATCCCTTCTTGAGCTGTCCTTACTCCCTCATGAATTTCTTCATCCTGATTTTAGAGTAAGTCAGTGCGTGGGTGGTTGTTAAGGTTCTCACTTTTTTTTTTTCTAAAAGGGAAAGGAACTAACTGTATACATATCTCTTCCTTACAAACCACTTCATGAGATGATATTACCAACCGCATTTTATAGATAAGGAATTAAACTTAGAGATTTAGCAACTTAACCCAAATAAGTATGGATCTGGGCCTGTGTTTGTTTCTTATATTACTGCATAACAAATTACCACAAATGGCTTAAAACACACAACATACGTATGCCCTCCAGTTTCTGTGGGTTCTCAGCTCAGGGTCACAGTACAAGTCAAGCTGGAAGCCTGGATTCCATTCCTCTGAGCGCGTTAAGAGTTGTTGGTGGAACTTGGTTCCTCACAGTTGTTGGATTGAGGTCCTGTTTTCTTGCTGACTGTCATCTGGGGCCTGCTCTGCTTCTAGCGGTTGCCGTCCTTCCTAACACGTGGGCCTTTGCCCTGCGCGGCACTGGCTTTCAAGGCCAGCGGGAGAGTGTCTCTGACCTGCTCTGTCTCTTACGATGCCAACTTAAAGGGCCCACATGGGTGCTCTGCCTTTTGGTTAGCTTAGCAAGGTGATTGGTGACTTTAATTACATCTCTGAAATCCCTTTTGCCCTGCGATGTAGATTAATCCTGGGAGTGACATCCCATCCCATCATGGGTTCTCCCCACACTCAGGGAGACTCGTACAAGATGTGTACGTGAAGGGGGGTCAACTTAGAATCTTGCCTCAACAGGGCCCATCTTAACTTCAGAGACTTATGCTCTTTGATCGGTATTGTTATCTGTCATATTAAGGATAACAGCACTGACTAGAAAGGGATGTCTGGGCCCTTTGGCATTTGAAAGTGCTTAATTTTTTGTCTGTTACTGTAAATATTTCAGTGCCTGGAAGCAGCGAGCCTTTCATGACGCAAGGACAGATGCCCACGAGCAGCATGCAGGATATGTACAACCAGAGTCCATCTGGGGCCATGTCTAGTCTGGGCATGGGGCCGCGGCAGCAGTTTCCCTACGGAGCCAGTTATGACCGAAGGTGAGTATTTCCTAAGATGAAGATGAGGTGACTTATTCGAAACTGTGCTTTCCACACATACATGTCTGAGCCCTAGCAGCCGATGTCCGCTTCCTGCTAAAGTTCAATAGAATTTGAATCAGTTCTAATGAGATGGATGAAACTGGAGCCCATTATACAGAGCGAAGTAAGCCAGAAAGATAAAGACCATTACAGTATACTAACACATATATATGGAATTTAGAAAGATGGTAATGATAACCCTATATGCAAAACAGAAAAAGAGACTCAGATGTATAGAACAGACTTGTGGACTCTGGGAGAAGGCGAGGGTGGGATGTTTCAAGAGAACAGCATCGAAACATGTATATTATCTAGGGTGAAACAGATCACCAGCCCAGGTTGGGTGCATGAGACAAGTGCTTGGGCCTGGTGCACTGGGAAGACCCAGAGGGATCGGGTGGAGAGGGAGGTAGGAGGGAGGACCAGGATGGGGAATACATGTAAATCCATGGCTAATTCATTTCAATGTATGACAAAAACCACTGCAATGATGTAAAGTAATTAGCCTCCAACTAATAAAAATAAATGGAAAAAAAAAATATAAAGTTCAATAGAACTGTACATGTCAGATGGCTGCCTTCAATCGCTGACTGTAACAGGAACTGGGGCGAAGGACCTTGTCCGCAGGCCACCAGTACAGCTGTGTTTTTATTAGTGAATGCCCGAAAGCACAAATTAGAAATATGCCAGGGCTGGGCTGGCCAGGGCACAAGTCTTCTCCCTAAGATTGCAAGAGCCAAGGTTGTCCCAGGCACTCTGGCCACACCGAGACCACCGCCCCAGGGTCCATGTGTGGCTCCTGCCGTGACCTCAGTGCCTGCCTGCCTTCCTCCCCACAGGCCGAGGTCTGGGCAGCGGTGCTATGCTGGGCTGTCAGCAGGCTCGGCAGCAGTGGGTTCTTGGCAACGTCTTCCAGGGGTTGTTTTTTCAGGTGTTCCACTGTCACCTGAGAACATTTTAAACTAAGAGGGAGTGCTTTGCTCCTTAATAAACATCTCTGATAAAAGCCAGGGCAACCTTTTTTTTCCTCGGGACATCCCCTTGATATTAAAATGGCAAGTAAGGATGCATTACTGGCCCAGATTATTTTAATAAGATAGAATGAAAGTCATTGAAATGTCTCAGAGAGGAACCTGTTCTCCAATAGTGGCTTAGGGTGGACTTTTGTGAAGAAGGCCCCTGACTGTGGTCCTTACCATGGCTGACCTATCCTTTGCTTGTCATGTTCATTACTTCCCTAACGGAGACTTGCTTAGAAACCAAGCCTTCAACTGAATATTTCATTTTTAAAGAAAACCAGTGAAGGTAAAGTAGAGCTCTTTTTCTAACTGTTGCTCTGAGGCAGGCCTCAGGACAGGCGTGGTTTTCATTTCCTTGGCGGGGCCTCGGTCCACACTGCTCCCTCTCAGTTCACATGCTGGCTTTTGTAGGTCCGGCTAAGCAGTCAGGTGTCCCTGGTTTAATACAAAGGAAAATTTTGGTTTGAAAAATCACTCTTTTATCAAATTAGGTTTCTTTCTAGCATTCTCTGTGAGCCTGGTTTTTGAGTTACACAGTATCGCATGCTCAGAGCTACACTGTACTTTCTAATAGTGACTGGGAAATCTCAGCTTCTCATTCTGACCTTCTAGTGAAGGTTTAGTTGTGAAATCCGCCTTAGTCACTTAACCGCTGTGTGAGGTCTGATGTACCAGATCAAGGATTTTTACTAAGATTTGGTTTGTTTTTGAGAGGCCAGGAAAAGCTTTTGGAGGAGGAAGAGGCAAGGGATAGGCTGATGAGATCAGAAGGAGAACAGTCATCCTCAGACATACATTCTTAAAGGAACCTGAGCAAATATACTTTTCTGAAGTGAAGTGAAGTTGTCGTGTCCAACTCTTTGCGACCCCGTGGACTGTAGCCTACCAGGCTCCTCTATCCATGGGATTTTCCAGGCAAGAATACTGGAATGGGTTGCTATTTCCTTCTCCAGGAGATCTTCCTGACCCAGGGATTGAACCCGGGTCTCCCGCATTGTAGGCAGATGCTTTACCGTCTGAGCCACCAGGGAAGATGTATTTTCTATTTCTTCTCAAATGCTTGCTTTCTGGAATGTCACATGGTCCAGGTGTAGAAGTTATTTTGGCCTTCTCACATTAGGGTTTGAACTTCCCAGGTAGATCAGTGGTAAAGAATCTACCTGCCAATGCTGGAGACATGAGTTCGATCCCTGGGTCGAGAAGATTGCCTGGAGAATCTCTGTGGACAGAGGAGCCTGGTGGGCTACAGTCCATGGGGTCGCACAAGAGTCGGACACAGTTGAGCGACTAAATAACATTAGGATTTCCTTCATTAAGTTTTCTCTTTTGAAAAGTGTTAACTTGTTCAGCTTAAATTTTCACATCAATTATATTTCTTTTCTCCTAACTATAAGCTTGCCTCCAGATTTCAATGTCATTAGCAGAAACTTGTCTGTTTTACATGTGATATTCTAAATTTTCATTTATTTTCTTTCTTATTCTCATTCCTTGACCAGTATTCTTCCTTACAAAATTCAGTATACTAACTACACCAGCTTAATTTCTAAAATTTCAATTCTGTTGTTCTTTTAAACGTTTATTTTTATGGTACTTATAATTTCTCAATATGAAATAAATGTATGTTTATTCCCATTTTAAAACTTAATCGAAGTACATTTAAATCATCCCTATTACCTTTTTTTTTTTGGTAGCCTTTTGGAGTCATAGAACTTTGAAATTTTGAGTAGTTAGGTCTATACCAATTTAGTATCATTTGGACTAATTTTGAAGGATTCCTTTAAAAACTTGCACATTTTATACTCATGATGAGGACGTTAGAAACATTTTCCACGTTTATGTGTCAATGTTCCAGTGCTCTGAGAAACACTGCTTTGACTCTCAGGTGCTCCTGTTGTTTCTGACGCTCGTTAATGCCTCCCTTCGGTCTGTGTCACGCCCTCCCTGGTCCCTCAAAGGCAGAGGGTGCCAGCCCGTCCTGTGGGACTCCTCGCCCCGCTGGCCAGGGGTTGGCAGCACTCCCAGAGTGGGTGCTGCCCTTCTTCCTCTGGGAGTGGAAGTGCTGCCACAGCCCACAGTACCTGCCAGGAGGGTGCCGTGGAGGAAAGACGGCATGGAGTGTCCAGAAGTGGGCTCTTCCTCCCTCCCTTGGCCCGAGGTCAGTGAAGTTTTCTTTGAATGACTCATTCTAGGCATGAACCTTACGGGCAGCAGTACCCAGGCCAAGGCCCTCCCTCAGGACAGCCGTCATATGCAGGACACCAGCCGGGCCTGTACCCACAGCAGACGGTGAGTTGGCGAGCAGTGTGCATCTCTGTGCTTTCTGTTTAAAATTCAGACTCACACACTTCTGAAGAGTTTTAGGAAGTATAACCAAAATGACATGTAACAATCAGGTTATATTTGCTTATGCTAAAAAGTATTCTTATGATTTTGAAGTCAGCAAGTTAGAAGTAGCTCTTGAAAATATGTTATTGGAAGTTAAGGACATTCGTCCTTGTAAATAATAAGCCCAAATTCAAGTATATTTTAGACATATGTCTATTCTGTATACTATTATATCAATTGACATTTTAGCACAGAAATTTGACAATATATTTTAGAGAATATGTAGGGTGAACAAGCTTAAAATATTATATGCTAATATTGAAAGTTGATCTGTTTTTAAGAATAAGATATTAATGCCCACATATTTAGACTGTAGGGTGGGTGTGTAGGTGCCTGCTGTTTGCACCATGCTGCAGCTCAGTTGCGAGGTGGGTGAGAGAACCCTGCGGTTACCACGACTGACACAGTGGAGCACGTGTCAGACATAGGAATTTGCTGTTGCTAAACAACTCTTCAGGTCTAAGACCTCTTGTAAAATACAAGGCGTTCTAAACATTAATTTGACCAGAGCATGTTTGTATGGTGAATTGTATCATCAAATCAGCTGACCTTAAACAGTGTTCCGCCATATGGGTCCCTCCATCCCGTGCTCTCATCAGCTTTCCACCCCATCCAGTGGTGGAAGCCCCAGCCTCCTGGGAGGGGAGCTCAGTGAGGCCGTACCAGCCCTGTCCTCAGGTTCTCCTGGAGAAGGAGACCCAGACCTGTTGGAGGCTGGGGCAGGGTTCATCCAACGTCAGGTGTCAGGGGCACAGGGCAGTGTGAGGAGCCAAGCTCTATGTGGAGGCTTTTCTGTCAAGTTAGGCCCAAGGTGTCTGTTTAGTCCCAGAGCCCTTCGGGCTGGCCCTCAGAGCACTCTGTCATTTGTGGTGAGGTCTCCGTCTGCCTACACAAGCCATCCCCGTGACCATGATCTCCAAGCCCTGGTTCTGCGCGGCCTGTGTGCTGGTCATCCACGCCATGCTCTCCCAAATCCACCCGGAGGATACCAGGAGAGGAGGCTGGTTTTTTCACCCACGCCCTGCTCTCCCAAATCCACCTGGAGGATACCAGGAGAGGAGGCTGGTTTTTTCACCCACGCCCTGCTCTCCCAAATCTGCCCAGAGAATACCAGGAGAGGAGGCTGGTGTTTTCACCCACGCCCTGCTCTCCCAAATCTGCCCAGAGAATACCAGGAGAGGAGGCTGGTTTTTTCACCCACGCCCTGCTCTCCCAAATCTGCCCAGAGAATACCAGGAGAGGAGGCTGGTGTTTTCACCCACGCCCTGCTCTCCCAAATCTGCCCAGAGAATACCAGGAGAGGAAACTGTTTTTTTCCCACGTAAGTTTTCAAGTACACAAAAACAGAGTACGTGCAGTGGTTTGTGTAGTACTGAATATCGCACATAAATTGTTAGTCCGTGGACGTAGGAGCTTCCCATATTCATTTTGAAATGAATGTTCCACCAGGTAATAACTGTTTTGCCTAATTTAAGCACGTGATTATACCCGTAAAAGCACATCAGTGTGATCTGTCTCTGTGAATTTTCAGAACTACAAGCGCCATATGGATGGCATGTACGGGCCTCCAGCCAAACGCCACGAGGGAGACATGTACAACATGCAGTATGGCAGCCAGCAGCAGGAGATGTACAACCAGTACGGGAGCTCCTACTCCGGCCCAGACCGGAGGCCCCTGCAGGGGCAGTATCCGTACCCCTACAGCCGAGAGAGGATGCAGGGCCCAGGGCAGATACAGCCGCACGCCATCCCGCCGCAGATGATGGGCGGCCCCATGCAGTCGTCCTCCGGCGAAGGGCCTCAGCAGAGCATGTGGGCAACCCGCAACGATATGCCTTACCCCTACCAGAACAGGCAAGGCCCGGGCGGCCCCGCGCAGGCCCCGCCTTACCCCGGCATGAACCGCACCGATGACATGATGGTCCCTGATCAGAGGATAAACCACGAGAGCCAGTGGCCTTCCCACGTCAGCCAGCGTCAGCCTTACATGTCCTCCTCAGCCTCCATGCAGCCCATCACGCGCCCGCCTCAGTCGTCCTACCAGACACCACCCTCACTGCCAAACCACATCTCCAGGGCACCCAGCCCCGCCTCCTTCCAGCGCTCCCTGGAGAGCCGCATGTCTCCCAGCAAGTCCCCCTTCCTCCCCTCCATGAAGATGCAGAAGGTGATGCCCACCGTCCCCACGTCCCAGGTCACTGGGCCGCCCCCCCAACCGCCCCCCATCAGAAGGGAAATCACCTTCCCTCCTGGCTCTGTGGAAGCCTCACAGCCAGTCCTGAAACAAAGGCGGAAGATTACCTCAAAAGATATTGGTAAGCGTTCCCAAGGCTCTGCTCCTGAGATGATTTCCTGTTGTCATCTAGAATTTTAATTTTGGGTTAGATGTAGTTGGATAACATCAAAGGGATGAGGTTCTGTGACTACAGACTATCAGGATGTGCTTTTGTGCAGGAGCAATAGTTGGAAGGCGCTCCTCTGAATTAAGCTCCAGAGGAGAGGGAGAATTAAAATGGATTTTTTGCATGTGAGTATGACTTGTGTGAGAGGGCGGTGTGAGAGGGCGGAGCCCCAGGTGAGAGACAGGGACTCCTCGATGACTGTGGATTGTATTTTGGGCTTAAAGATTTGATCTTAACCAAACACATAATCTTTGCCATGTGTGCTTAAGAGAACAGCTGCGAGGCTAATGGAACACTGGAGTGGCCTGAGAGAATTTGACAGCAAGCCACTCTATAATTTTGGCAAGGACATACAGACAGTGAGTTCCCCCAGGAACAAAACCAGAAAACTGACTGTACTGCATAGACAGGTACATAATGTGTTATATAGAACTTCACACGTGGATAGAATTTAGGTGATCCCTGCAGCACTGTTGATGGGACCAAAGAACTCTTTCGGGTGAACACTGATGTCATGCGTTCATCCGGGTGGAATCTTCTAAATCCTAATTATAGATTTGGAAAATCTGGGAGTACACACAGTTTTTCTGCATCATTTTTGAAGTACTTTTAACACAGCTAAGGAAATAATAGAGTTCAGTTTTATCCAAACTTTTCCTCCCAAAAATCTCAAAATCACGTGACTCGAAGTGCTTTGCAGTGATTAGAAAATTAAATGTTTTAAAGGTTTGACCAATGTTTTTAATCACTGGACATTAAGGAAGGGGGTTGGGGGAAGTAAGGAGTTCTACATAGAGGATGTGCTGGAGACAAGAAAGAAACAGACCCTGGGCACCGTGTTTCATATGGTAATATATATGTAAAAATATATGCATGTATTTGTGCATGTGTATAGATATTTAAGTAAACATGTGTCTGTGTTTTAGTCACTCAGTCATGTCTGACTCTTTGTGACCCCATGGACTATATAGCCTACCAGGCTCCTCTGTCCATGGGATTTTTCAGGCAAGAATATCGGAGTGAGCTGCCATTTCCTTCTCCAATTTAAGTAAATAAATACATTTAAATTTGAAAAAAAAATTCTTAGTGCATGTTATACCAGCCTAGGGAAACTTATGTTCCTGATTTTAAAATGAAAATTTTCCTTTCTATTACACAAGTATTATGTGCCTCTCTTAGAAAATTTGAAAATGAGATGAAATTAAAGGTGGACACCCATGGCACCTCCCGCACAGGAGTTGGCATCTGGCCTGGCTGCTGCTGTGGGGAATTCAGCTGCTCACACCATGTGCTTCCACCAGTTTCCTGAGACAGCGTCCCTTAAAATTACAGACACACAACGGGCCTCCCCTCTAGCCCCATCTTACGACAAATCTTACATACCTTTCCTCTCATCGTTCTTCTTGGCCGTCCATCTCAGGCCAAGCTCCTAAAAAACCAGAACTGTCAAAATGCTAGTACTTGTCAACAGCATGCTCTGTGGTCCAGAGCTCAGACAGAGACTGCATGGAGGAATGAAAGCTTTCTATCAGTGAGCATGCTGTTTGGGAATTAAATTTTGCTTATATTCTGCATACTCACCAGCCTTCGGAAGATGCTACCTTGACACATCTGTGAATAGAGTCAAAGAAGACAAATACCGAAAGAATCATTCCCACCTCTGTTTAACCTGCAAAGCAGAAAGCTCTTCTGCTTTGCATAGACATTTCTTAGTCAGTTGTCAACCTCCACCTGAAATGACCATGTTTAACGGTCTCTCAGAACCTTTGTTTAAATCAGTATTTAACTTAACATTCTGCTTTTTCTTCTTCTTTTGTTATTTTCTATTCTTTCATGCATAGAGTTAATATTAATCATGTCCTTCTTCTTCCACCCATTTTTAGTTACTCCAGAGGCCTGGCGTGTGATGATGTCCCTTAAGTCAGGTCTTTTGGCTGAAAGTACTTGGGCTTTGGACACTATTAATATTCTTCTATATGATGACAGCACTGTTGCTACTTTCAATCTCTCCCAGGTAAGCCAGCACCAGTCCAACTGAGAACCAAATTAGAGTAAGAAAATGAAGTAGTGTATAATGCTTAAGCTAATGCCTAAAGCAGTTAGGACTCACCAGCTAAAATTTTTTATCATTACAGTTAACTATGAACCAACATCAATCAGTGTATAGTTGTCTGAGAATTTTGTCTGGAACAATAATTTATTTCAGTCTTTAGTATAAATACACATGTGTATTTCTTATAAGAAAACAGTGACCTTGTGTGCACATGCATGTGTGTGCATGGAATAGACAATAGTGGCAAAATCAAATTTGTTTAAGAGTGAGCATTAGCAGGCCAGTGAGAATTAATCCAAATGTAACACAAAGTTATGGCTGTAGTCAGTGTTGGATGAGACATCACCATGCAGTAAGTTGCAGTGAGACCTTACCCTGTTTTTCAGGGGGACCTAACATCTTTCTTTTAATTAAAAAAGTATAAAATTTAAAAAGAGTGTTTATATTACAGAAAATATGTATATAAAGAGAGAAGTAAACAGTTTAATGAACCCCTGTGTACCATCGTTCAACTGCAGTAGTAATGAAGTCATGGTCAAACTTGTTCTTGATGTGTTCCCTCCCATTTCTGCCCCCGCCTCTAGTTGATTTTGAAGCAGTCATTTAAAAGCCTCCTACCTTTAAAAACCCTCCTTTGATCTGTGCTAAGCTTGAAGTAGCTTCTAGCATAATAGCTGGAAGAGAGAAGGAGCTGAGGATTAGGAAAAAGGCCCAAGAGCCAGCTGGACTACAGATTTTTTTAAGAAATATTTAGAAACAAAAATCAGAAAAGGTCATTTTCCCTACTGTGTATGAACAACTCTGCTTTTGTTGAAAAAAGCCAAAACATCTAATTCCCTCCCTTCTGTTGAACTAGGACCAGAATCTTCCACTTCCTTTTTCTTCTCTCCTTTAACTTGTCATTTTAGCCCTGAAAGGCAGTTTTTCAGTTGATACCAAGTATATTAATAAGGTCATAAACATCGAATGAAGTCCATTTTAATAAATAAGTATTAGAACATATACTACCTTTGCTAGAGTAATAAATTTCCATCCTTATGCTAGGTGAGCTGCTATTGAGCACAGTTTTTCATAACCAGCATTGCTTCAGCAATCTTCCCTCTTCCCTTGTCCTGGGAAAAAACTAAGCTTTACGTTGGGGGTGAGGTGGGGGAGGGGGTGATGTCCAGACCCCCACTTAAAAAACTGTGCCCTTTGTACCCTAAAAGCAAGCTCCACCTGGCTGGTACTTGGGTGTCCCCTTACTTCTTTGTAATTATTTAAAACCCCCTTGCAGGAAACTTACAGCCAGATAATGAAATTATAGTCAATTTCCATAACACCTATCATTAAGAAATCCTTGTTTACTTACTTATCCTTCATCATCCCTAAATGCAGCAGCATTGATGTTGAGGGAGAGGAGTATGTTGGTTCTCTTGACATAAACATCCGCTTTAAGGAAAAAAAGCTGGTTCTCAGAGTTGCTTTTGTCTTTCAGCTGGAGTTGGGAATAGCTGAAATATAAAAGTGCATTCTGTGAAACATTCTCATTCATTTATCTCAGGGACTAAATTGATTTGTTTGTAATTTTGTGTGTTTATGAGCTACTACGTTGCTGAAATTATCTTCTCCCCAAAATATATGGAGAATGTAAATTAGAATAACCTATGGCACCTAAGACAAAAATAACCATAAAATCCTAAGAATAATAACCATAAAAATCTAGGCAAGCAGAGTTTCAGATAAATAAGAGAGGAGAACAGACTCACTTTGGGTGAATGAGTCTATAAAATCCACGTTCCCACTCTTCTAGTAAGAATGGTATTGTGTCTAAACCAGAAACAAAGGTAAACAGCAGAGCACTCCCTCTGGGATAGTATCAGAAATGGGAAAGTAACAAGTAAGTTTTCATGTTAATGGTGTAGGAAAGTAAACACCAAGAAAGATAGTGTTGATTATTGAAAAATTCAGGAAGGTAGTTCTAACTTGTACCTGGTTTCTTTTTCTTATACATGGTTTCTTTTTCTTGGCCTACCAAAAAAAAAAAAAAAACATTAAAATGTGAAAATAATCATATGCATGGCTAGCTAGCAGGATTTTCACCCTCTCAGTCACACCGGAGAGGTTATGACATTGTACCTCTTCTCTTTCTCATCCTCTCCAGTTGTCCGGATTTCTTGAACTTTTAGTAGAGTACTTCAGGAAATGCCTGATTGACATTTTTGGAATTCTTATGGAATATGAAGTGGGAGACCCCAGCCAAAAAGCACTTGATCACAATGCAGCGAAGAGAGACGACAACCAGTCATTGGCCGACGATTCTGGGAGAGAGGAAGAAGATGCTGAATGTATTGAGGAGGAGGAAGACGAGGAGGATGAGGAGGAGGAAGACAGCGGGAGGGCGGAGACGGAGGACAGGAGCAGCACTGGGGCCTCCCCTGACGCCACCGCAGATCCAAAGGAGAAGCCCAGGCAAGCCAGTAAATTTGACAAGCTGCCAATCAAGATAGTCAAAAAGAACAACCTGTTTGTCGTCGACCGCTCTGACAAGCTGGGTCGCGTCCAGGAGTTCAGCAGTGGACTTCTGCACTGGCAGCTCGGCGGGGGGGACACCACCGAGCACATCCAGACTCACTTCGAGAGCAAGATGGAGATTCCTCCTCGCAGGCGGCCACCTCCCCCTTTGAGCTCCACAGGCAGAAAGAAAGACCAGGAAGGCAAAGGGGATTCTGACGAGCACCAAGAGAAAAGCATCATCGCAACCATCGATGATGTTCTGTCTGCGCGGCCAGGGGCTCTGCCTGAAGACACAAACCCTGGTACCCAGACCGAAAGCAGCAAGTTTCCCTTTGGAATCCATCAAGCCAAAAGTCACCGCAACATCAAGCTGCTGGAGGACGAGCCGAGGAGCCGGGACGAGGCCCCGCTCTGCACCATCGCGCACTGGCAGGACTCGCTGGCCAAGCGCTGCATCTGCGTGTCCAATATCGTCCGGAGCTTGTCTTTTGTGCCTGGGAATGATGCAGAAATGTCCAAACACCCAGGCCTGGTGCTGATCCTGGGGAAGCTGATTCTTCTTCACCACGAGCATCCCGAGAGAAAACGAGCGCCGCAGACCTACGAGAAGGAGGAAGACGAGGACAAAGGGGTGGCCTGCAGCAAAGATGAGTGGTGGTGGGACTGCCTCGAGGTCTTAAGGGATAACACATTGGTCACCTTGGCCAACATTTCTGGGCAGCTAGACTTGTCTGCTTACACGGAAAGCATCTGCTTGCCAATTTTGGATGGCTTGCTGCACTGGATGGTGTGCCCATCAGCAGAGGCACAAGACCCCTTTCCCACAGTGGGACCCAACTCTGTCCTGTCGCCTCAGAGACTCGTGCTGGAGACGCTCTGTAAACTCAGCATCCAGGACAACAATGTGGACCTGATCTTGGCCACGCCTCCATTTAGTCGTCAGGAGAAATTCTATGCCACGTTAGTTAGGTACGTTGGGGATCGCAAAAACCCAGTCTGTCGAGAAATGTCCATGGCTCTTTTATCGAACCTTGCCCAAGGGGATGCGCTGGCTGCAAGGGCCATAGCTGTGCAGAAGGGAAGCATCGGAAACTTGATAAGCTTCCTAGAGGATGGGGTCACGATGGCCCAGTATCAGCAGAGCCAGCACAACCTCATGCACATGCAGCCCCCGCCCCTAGAGCCCCCTAGCGTGGACATGATGTGCAGGGCGGCCAAGGCTCTGCTGGCCATGGCCAGAGTGGACGAGAACCGCTCCGAGTTCCTTCTGCACGAGGGCCGATTGCTGGATATCTCGATATCAGCCGTTCTGAACTCTCTGGTGGCGTCTGTCATCTGCGATGTACTGTTTCAGATCGGGCAGTTATGACATCAGTGAGAAGGCAGCCTGTGTGAATGAAGACTATAGAGGCTCCCGTGTAACTGGCTGTGTTCTGTTCTTGTTTCTCCAGCGTAGGACGAAGGAAAGAAAATCTTTGCTCCTCTGCCCCATCCACTATTTACCAATTGGGAATTAAAGAGATAATTAATTCGAACAGTTATAAAATTAATATTTGCTGTCTGTGTGTACAAGTACATCCTTTTGGGGTTTTTTTTATTTTGTTTTTTGTTTTTTTTTTTTAACCAAAGTCGCTGTCTAGTGCATTCAAAGGTCACTTTTTGTTTTTCAGATTTTCTTTTAATGTTCTTTTCCATGTCGTATTACATTTTTTTGGGGAAGCAAATTGACTTCAAAGAAAAAAATTAACAGCAAAAGATGCTATAAGATGGGAAAATTTCACCACACTGAGACAAAAAGGCGAAAACTTATCGATTTCCTAGCTGTGTTATTCTTCAAATAATGAAAAAATTGCACCTGTATCCCATCGTCCAAAGCTCTGTGCAATAGAAATTTCTAGAGATATAGGTATAGGGGCTCGCAAAGGTCTGTCAGTCAGCGGTTGAAATAGGAAATGATTCTGGTTTCTCCACAGGAAAATGGTTACATTAGGCTAGGAGCAAAATGGTCATTTTTAAGTTAAGATTGAAAACATACCTGACAACGATCAACGGAAATTGCTTCCTCACCACTACCGTCATGTCTGCTGTCTGTCGTTTGACCTTCCACATGACAGTTCTTCACAATTCCTTTAATCATTTTTTTTTAATATTTTTTTTTTTTACTGCCTTTGGGCTGTGATGTATATAGAAGTTGTACATTAAACATACCCTCATTTTTTTTCTTTCTTTTTTTTTTTTAGTAAAAAGTTTTTAGTTTCTTTTTCATGATGTGGTAACTACGAAGTGATGGTAGATTTAAATAATTTTTTATTTTTATTTTATATATTTTTTCATTAGGGCCATATCTCCAAAAAAAAGAAAAAATACAAAAAACAAAAATGAAAAAAAAAAAAACAAAAAAAGAGGGTAATGTACAAGTTTCTGTATGTATAAAGTCATGCTCTATTTCGGGAGAGCAGCTGATCACAATTTGCTTCATGAATCAAGGTGTGGAAATGGTTGCATATGGATTGATTTACACAATGGTTACTAGTACAGACAAAAAAAAATACAACTAAAAGGAAGAAACACAACTTCAAAATTTTTTCAGTGACAAGAATCCACATTTGTATTTCAAGATAATGTAGTTAAAAAAAAAAAAACAAAAAAACTTGATGTAAATTCCTCCTTTTCCTCTGGCTTAATGAATATCATTTATTCAGTATAAAATCTTTATATGTTCCACATGTTAAGAATAAATGTACATTAAATCTTGTTAAGCACTGTGATGGGTGTTCTTGAATACTGTTCTAGTTTCCTTAAAATGGTTTCATAGTAACCAAGTAACAAGAAAAATGGGGGAAACAACCATGTACTAACATAGCCCCTCGTTATGAAACCCTGAGGTCGGGAGGGGCCTTTAAGGGTTACCTACTTTAGAGTGGGGAGCAAGAGTTTGATTTTCTCAAAGGATTTAAATAACTGGCCTTTGTTTGAAGCAGTCAACTCTGACAACATGGCGGTATGAGAATTTTCAGTGTCTGGGGGCGGTGGCTGCCAGCCCGTGAGGTGAGATCACTGGCCTGACAGTGTAACACCCTGCCTTTTTCTAACCCCATCCTAATTTCGATCAGAGTTCAATCTATTCCGTGTTTTTCCTGTGTGCCTCAAAGTTATTTTGCATTTAGTTTACTCCACCTTGTATAATATTTATATTGTGCAATGTTAAAAAGAATATGTTATATTGTATGTGGTGTACATAGTGCAAAGTGATTATTTCTATTTCAGGGCATATTAATATTCTCATATTCCTTCCTATCCTGGTGCACAGTAGCTTTTGATTACTAGTCACTTCTAGTTTAAACTTAATTTCTTCCTGGGTCATTGACTGTTCTTGTGTAACAATCAATTTCTTTGAAACTGCTGCAGAGTTAAACCGTTAGCGGACACCCTTCTGACTCTACCTCTTCACACCACCCTGCCAATCTCAGCAGACTCAAAACTTCCAAGTTTATTCGCCAGACCTGTTGTCTGGGTGCCCATTATTCACAGTAATACATGGAAGAGTTAGACGAGAGCGCTTGGTTACAATGAGAGGGTGGAATGGGACTCTCGTGTCGCAAGAAAAGGTTTTTTTCCTGCAAGCATTCTCATCATCTGTCAACTCCCACATTAGTCAGTCTTCTTATATAATAATGCAGCCAAATTTATGTTGAATTTAAACCCCATTTATACTTTAAATTTATCTGCTTGCTAAGAACAGATTCTAGTGCTCCAAGCTTCAAATTTGGAGATTTGTAAGAGGGAATTCAATATTATTCTAATTCCTCTCTTACAGAGTATGAATAAAAGGTGTATACAAACTTTGAAGTTTGTCAATCAAAAGAGTGAAATATTACAAGAGACTGTTGTTGTCATGGTTTGAGTTGTAATCAATATCTAGAGTCTGACCACTGAGCAACAAGATTTTACATACTGATAACGCGATGTAATCTCTAGAATAATCCAGGAAGATTTTAGCATCCTTTCTACATTCTCACCCCAGAATGAAGACTACAGAAGCCCATGAAGAACTTACAGCCTGCCTGACATCATCTTGCCTACAAACTGAGTTATTGCTTTGTCCTAAAAATTAGTTGTTTTTTTTCCTATGAGGCTTTTCAGAAATTTACAGGATGCCCATACTTTAAATGTGTACAAAAAAAAAAAAGATTAAAATAAAGGTGCAAAGAAAGTTTAGTATTTTGGAATGGTGCTATAAAGTTGAATGTGTTGGTATTTGAATTTTTTAATGTCACAGAGGATATTACTGGGTGGCATGTGTGCAGAAATAATTACTCAAATGTTTTAAGATCAAGAATGATATAGAATCAGTTTTTGTTGGTGAATGTGACTTATTCAAAAACTAGTTAGGTGGTTTTTTAAAAATTATAATAGAGAATGATTTTTTAAAGGGGTTATGAACAGTTTGATGATGCAGAATGTAAGCTATTAACTACCTCTTTTACGAAAAAAGATGGCTTTCGCCCTGAAATCATTCATTTACCAACTGTTGGAAATACTTCATTTTTTATCAAACACCATGTACAAATTCCCATTATCTGTTCACCTTCAAGGAAGCAAAGAAAGTATTATAAATGAGCCAAAGTGACCAATCAAATAGTCCATTTTCTTCTCGCTGAGTTTTGTTTCACTTTCTTACCTGGGACACCGAGTGTAGCTGCCTGATCGGTTTGCGCTCTGCCACCCCCATCATCTCCCTCAAAGACCCTCAGAGTCAAACGAGCTTTTAAAACTGCCAGTGCATATTTTCGGGGATAGTAAATAACCTGCTAAGATGTCACACTATTCAGTAATTCAGCAGAAATGCATTGAGCATGTGCTGTGTGCCAAGCTCTGTTCAGGTGCTGAAGGGTCATTCATGAGCAAAGACCCTGATTCAGTTCTGTTCTGGTCGTTCTTGTCAGATAATTATAGAAATAAACTCATCTTCCAAATCCAGTGTTTATGCATTGAGAACACTGAGTATGTATATTTTGTTGACTAAGAGATGAAGTGAGGCTCTAGCTGTGGGAACCAGGGTCTGGTAAGAAGGGGTCTGGACTGAAAGAACTCAGCCACGTCACCGTGCAGCCTGACCCACATGCGTGTGAGTCTAGAACATGCGCTGGTCTGCAGTCTCCAGCTCTGCAGTGTGACTAACCCGGTGCCTCTCCCGCTCCTTTGCACACGAGGGTGCTTGTGCGTTCCCAAGTGCAGGGGGGAAACCCAGAGTCGTAGCCTGGCACCCGGTGATCCGAGCTTACGAGATCAGCCCTTGGAAGTTCAGGAATTGACTGAAGCTATACAAGGAGACTTTATTTAGGGCTTATTTGTTCTTAAGTCCCACAGACCACCACATGTACCCATGCCCATCACCAGTCACTGTGTTGTTTCATGCTTCTATCTGCGGATTTGCAGTCCTTCTTTTGTTTTATGATGATCCAAGTCATGCAATCCCCTCAAATGCCAAAGTCAAGTTAATTTACTTCAGGGTTTAAATATGTGAAACCCCGAGCGGAAGTTGGGGGAAGACCATCTAATGTGTCCCTAAGTATGAGACTCCTCTTTCTTCCTGAATCTAATTTCAAGGACTTAAAAGGTTTACCCCAGCTTTTTCTAAAGTATATTCTAAGGGACAGAAGTGATCTCAAAACAAAACCCACTCCTTACATATTCTCCTCTTGGGCATCTATAATCCACAGTATCACTTTTAAAAGTCTGAGAAATCCTACAAAAAAAGAAACCTGTTTATCCCAAGCATTTCCTGACTTAATCAACCTTGGAAGTTTTTTAAAATCCATATAAACATGCTGCCAAAGCTTGGGGGAATAATGGCATTAGCTGAGGATCGTGCCTAACTTCTGAACACCCCTGTGCCTTGCTTATCCTCAGTCTATTCTTATTTCTTCCACTGAAATTGAGATGTCCTTGAAGGAGATGTTATGGAATCTTCTCTTGCTGTCTCCACAACCTTCAGTGAACAAGCTGCTTAAATTCTCTGAACCTCAGTTTGTCACCTGTAATTCAGTGTAACACCTGCCTGAGGATTGGTGAGGATTAAATTAGATAACTGTATAAAGGTCTTATAACCTAAGTGATCATTGTGTATTAATTGCATACACTCCCTTTGGTGAGTGCCCTAAAGTGTACTTCACATAATTTAAAAATCTGGTCCAAGAGAGCATCTTCCCATTTTCATAGTCACATAGTTGGTGTGACTTTTATTGTTTGGGGGTTTCTTGTAAAACCCATAAAGACTCAAGTCTATTGATTGGCTGTTTAGTGCCGAGGGTGATGGCATAACTTCTCCACTGAGTGTTTGTTTTAGCTGTTGGACATCCAGAGGTGGTAGGAGTCCTCGCCTTTCATTCTGCAGGCCTGGGGGGAGACGCGTATATCTCTGGAGCACAGTGCAGTCGTGCAGTAAACTTGCCCTGTCCTGTCCTTCTAGGGGGGAAAAAAAAGTGGCTTATAACATTTCAGGGGTCAAATACCGCAGGGTGCTGATGACAGTGTTTTCTTTGCTATTGCTTCCATCTGATGCACACTAGGAAGCAGAGAGCTTCCCTAGAGAAAAAGGACTGCAGCCTTCACACTTAGCTGGAGATGGGCCACACTTCCGTGGGCTACAGAAGTGGAATTCAGGATGTTCTTCATTTCCGTGTAAGCTTAAGGTCAGGTAAACAAATAAAGCCTGCACTTTGATCTTCTGCGGAAATTTGGTATTTAGCTGGGCCTGGATCTGTACATTGGACAAACTAGATTTTCCAAAAGACTCATGGAACCTAAACTTGGATTCAGCCCCTTAAAGCTATCCTTGCCCAAACAAAAGCAATTCCTCCAGGCCAGTACCAGCAGTGGGTATAACACTGCTTTCTGCTAAGTGGTGATTACTTCACGCTTGGATGTTTTTTACACTTGAAAGAATTTCACAGCTATTAGTTGTTCTTTATAGAAGCCTTAGTATAGAACATTATAACATTCGTTCTCCAAAAACAGAATCATAGGCTGACACGCAAAGTAGTTGAAACAAACTGAGACCACCCCTTTCCAAGAATGTATGTTTGTCTTAGAAATGTCTTCAACTTTATGCAAAATCTAGAGAAGAAGGGGACTTTTAAAGCAGAAGCCATGAAGGATATTAGCCACAGACTGAAGGAGGGAGAGGGGGCAAGGTGGGAGAGTCTTGCAAAGTCTCAGGACAAGACATAATGTCATATGCTCACTTAGCATCTGTGCCTCTGTTAAAGGGAATACAGTCCAAACTAAACCAAAATCAGGAAAGCCTGGGCAATGCTCTGTCCTTGTACGACAGGTCCTTCCAACAGTCTCACTTTACTGTTGTCATCTTCACAGTATCTTCACAGTCCTCAAGAGCTTCATCTGCATGTTTTGTGTTGAGATACAAATAAAATTATCACCCACTCAGTGGGTGATATAAGCAGCCCAAGTTACAGGTCTCAGCCCCCTACACCTTCCTGGGGTCTCCCTTCTACATCCAAAGGTTGTATGAATGCCTGTGGGAAAATCATTATTACATCCCTACTGGACACAAGATGCTCCAGATGCCCAAGTCGGGTTTTCAAATATACCCTAAGACTTGGAATGGAAAGTAAATTTTCTAAAAATGTATTGATGGGCCCATGGGCTTTCATAGATGATACTTAATAAGAAATTAGGATTAAACTAAACCCCAGGTAGCCTTTAAATTGAAATCATCTAGGGAATGAGCCTGTCCAGAAGGAATTGGCAAGTCTTAGCTTGACTTGGGGGCTATTGGAGTTTTCCACCAATTAACGACTTTTTTGGTGCCCCAGCCAAATAACATTGAGAGTTTTAATTCCGTAATATATTTTTCTTTCCAGTTTCACTTTTCAGTCACCCACTGTGACCCAAAAGAGGGATAAAAAGGGACATGAGAGGAGGACACCAGTTGCTTATATTTAGATCATTGCTTTAAAAATACTGGTCTAATATGAGCAGTTATTTGTTCCCATGGGGAGGAAAAATGACATGACATCTTCTGCACATTTAGGATGAATACACTTTTAGCTTGATAAAAAATTTCCCCATAAGTGCAATGCTTGTTTTGTTGGTTCAGTGTATTTTTCACCAAATGGTGTGAACATATGGCCCGTACTTCTCTTGGCCATAAGATCTGAAGGGAGAAGACTTCTGATGGCGAAGAGCCATGGTGATTTATCGAGATGAGTTTCAATTCCAAAGGGGAGCCTGGAGTGAAGGCCTCTCTCAGCCAACTCTTGACATGCAATCCCCTCTCCCCACATTTATGTCTAATGTCTGCTTCCGTGGGTAATAGATTGGAATGCATCTGGAAAAAGAAGCATTTTGCTAATTAGTGGAATTTCATCTTGGTGGACCTTGTTTGCAGAAATTAAATTCGTATCAGTTTGTGGGCTCAGAGTGCTGGCCAATCACGTCCTGATGCAAACCGCTATCTCCCACCCAGAATCGTCTGTAAGGGCCAGTGTTAAATGGTGAGATTCCTCAGTGCCTGGAAATCGTGTTTCAGTTCTCACACTCACTTAGGGAACTGAACTTAGGTTTTTGGAGAACACTCTCCTCAAAGCCTCCCGCCTGCCTTCCTTCATGGAGGTGGAGATGAGAACTGCTCTCAAAAACACACAGGCAAGAGTGCTTTGGTGGCCTTTCCCCTGGCTCCCACCATCCCCAGGAGAGGCCTGCCAGCGAGCACCCCTTCCCTCTGGCCCTCCTCACCTCCAGGACAGAGTGCTTTTGACCCTTCCACCCTGTAAGGGCACGGAGGTGGGCATGACCCAGCCCCAGTACCTGCCACGGGGGAGCCAGCCAGTCACATAAGGCCTCAGCCTGGCAGGGTCTTCTCAGAGGGCAGTGTTGCTTGTGTGCCCACCACCCAGTCGGGATTCGCCTGCTTCCGTGCCTCTGCCAACCCCTTCAGCGTAACGTGGGGCAGAGCCTGAACCTGCCATCTTGCATGCATGTCGTATAGTCGCTCGTTCACGTCCCATCCTGTGTGCCCCCATGGATTGCAGCCCGTCAGGCTCCTGTGTCCATGGGATTTCCCAGGCAAGAATACTGGAGTGGGTGGCCAGTTCCTTCTCCAGGGGATCTTCTCAACCCGTGGATCAAACCCATGTCTCCCACACTGGCAGGCGGCTTCTTAACCACAAGCCACCAGGGAAGCCCCTTGCACA